TGAAAAGATCGATAATTTAGCTTTTATTTTGATTGGGCCATTATAAATAAAAAATATCGAGTTAAGATCCAGTTTTGTACTACGATACACGATCATATAAGTTTAAATCTGTAGGAGCACCACCGTTGCAAAGACACACAAGTTATTTTTAATTACGTAGTGGTTGCGTAAATGGGTTGACCAATTCGTTTTTAGACAACGATTAAGAATCCAATAACAGACCATTACTATTTTTGTTTTACTCTTTTAAATAAAATTATCATGTTACCTAACCAGTACTTACTTACTAACTATAGAACTGAGTACGTAGACATCACATAAACATTATAAGTTATAATTTTGCCATTGTCTTCAGTTTAAAGCGACATACATTTCTATTGTAGTGCTAGCCATTGTTAAGACTATAAAAAGTCGATACTGTTCTATTCTTTAAGGCGCGGATAATATTCAATAGGTAGTTGCTAAACGATACTGAGAAGTTGCTTGACAAAATGATAAATTTTCTTAGGAAAATTTTATTTCATCACAAAAAAAAAAACTATATTATCGTTGACATGATGGTATAGTTGAATTAAAAAATTTTACGGAGTTTATTGAGTCTGCACTTCAATATTTTTAACATTACCATAAAATTTACAGCATAGTCACGAGAGAGACAATCCTACGACATCATAATTATACCGGACACTTAACTACAACAATTTTTTACTTCACATAAAATTAGATGTTTTCGTTTAACACTGTGTTGTAAAAATTAACAGAGACCTTAATGTTAATATATTACAGATTTAGTTCACTCGTTACACATTATTTCTGTAATTAGTATTAATATGAATATCTTACGAATTTTTATTTGACAGTTAGCATGAGGAATAATTCAAAGTATTTCATTAATTGAACGCAGTACTTCGTTAACATATGAGTAAAGTACGATTACAATAATCTCCATTCATACTAGAATAGGTTATCAGCCTGAAATTTAATGCCTACGACCATACTTATTTAACGTCTCTTTCAGGATTTAGAATCTTTACTCGAAATATAACACTTTTCCACTAACTGATCATTTTTCTTGGACCGTAAAAATTTGGATTTATTTATTGCTTAATTATACAAGTATGCAATAAATCGTATGTATAAACTAGACCGTAGAATTTATTGGAAACGAATAAATAAAATACATTTGCTTTCAATTTGAACTATGTACTCAAGCAGTAACTCGTGCTCAAATTCAAAGATTTAAAAAGGTAATCAAATACATAGGAAGCCAAAGTATTAGGCTTAACTTGCACCCTCCATGCATTTCTTTAGTCCATAATCCGCGTACAGTGCAAGTAGTTAAACACGATATATTCGAACAGACACCAAGGCGGAATCTAAACATAACACTGTTAGACACCTTTATTGCTTCAAACCATCGCGAGGGCTTACATTAGAAGAGGAAAATATATTCAAACATTTACGAGTACATTGATATATGATACTAAATGTAACCTTAAAGGGACTTTAGTATAGTCAAAAAGTAAAGGGAAACTGTTTACGAAAGTAAATGGAATAAAACATCATATCTAATCAGAGAAGTAAATGTATGCAAATAAAGTATACGGAGACAGTAGTCTGCCCATCTGCAAATCAAAGTTTATGATCGAGTGAGCGCATATGCGTAAAGGTGAGTAACTCTAAGATACCTTTTCACGTACAGGGGTCACTCGGTAAGCTTTTATTTATCTTATCTGGTAATACTAAGACGTACGAAGACACCTATTAGTATTCATTGCACTGATTTCTTATTCTAGTAAATAAAAGAAAATTGCAAGGTGTCTATCAGGGCCAAATTTTTATTGATACGCTATCCAAAAAACTTCTGGTTTTGAGTGTCGTGCGGAATGAGAAGCTCGTTGTCAAAGGAAGGTACGTAATTCTCTTCTTTTTTTTTTACATTAAGTTATTCAATAGGATGAGTTTTCTTTTTTAAATGCTGTGAATTGGCAAACTCTTCTTTCTTCAGAGAGTAGAGTCGACATTGCTGCAATTTTTAAAAACAGAGAATTGAAAAAAGAATTATATTCTTAATGAGCAAAATGATCAATTCAAAGAGTTTAACCATCCTTTTGGCAACTCAAATGACATTTGAAAAGCCATTTGACAGCTGATTAGTGATTAGTTAATTCAGTGATTCTCAACCTTTTTTTTGTTGCGGCACATATTTAACGATTTCAAAATTTGGCAGCACACAAAATTATTTACTTACTACAACACACTGCATAAATAGTTTATGACAAAAATTTTAATATACGAAATAAACTAATATATAAGACGAAGAATATATACGCTATAAACTAATATAGACGCGAAGAAATACAGACACAGTGTGCGTGTGCAGCAAGTCAGCACATAAGCTCGGGATTCCCCGTGAGATATGTACACAGCGCACGTGTTCAATCACAGTAGCAAATAGTAGTGTGATAAAAACAAAAAAAAAACTTATTTCTAAAACCGTGTAAAAGCGAAAACGTGTAAAACAAGTACCGTGTAAATCGGGGGATAGGTGTACTGCAAAGTTAATAAGTTTACAAATTTATAAATTGACACTACATGCAAATAAATTAATATTAAACCGAATCACATACATTTGCCAATTTTAACGAAAGAAAAGGTGCAGTAACTACTATGCAACACCTTGTAAATCACAAATATCACTAAAACAACACGTTTTGTACGCAGAAGTGGGAAGTGTGCGCCGACTTGAGACATATTCTTATTGCTATGCACGCCGCTTCATCGTAATTTGGCACTAAGAAAAAACGCGTTGCAAAGCAAATAATAAAATAATTAATTTTTTGTGGATTTAAATATATATTCATGTTAAAAATATTTTTCTTTTTAAATTATATAATTTAATAATATTAACATTATTATATATTTGCAAAATTTGGCGGCACACTTTTGAAATTTGACGGCACAATAAAGTGCCGCGGCACAGTGGTTGAGGATCACTGATTTAATTTCTACGATGATCAATCAGTATTTCAGAAACCGGGCGTAAGTCTAAGTAACCATCAAAGCAATTTCCAATTAATCTACGGTTCCTTTGGTTGACGTCAACGTTGAAAAGCGTACCGGTATTCCGTAAAAGTGGGAGCGAATAGTAGGAAGGAAGGGAACAATGCACGCGAACAAAAGCCGGCGGCGGTTGATGGCTCGTGGCGCGCATAGCAATCAAGCGGACCGTGTGCTATTGCCAACCTATTAGGACATCACTCTTTATACTTGTTTAAAAGTTCACAAGAATAATACTTGCGAAGTAAGGACATAATTTTCACTTAATAATACTAGAATTCAAAGCAAGATTTAGGCGCTATTACAACTTTTATTTGATTTACTTAAATAAATAGTAGCCTTTTTTTAATTTCGTAAATAATCTAAATTAAATCCAAATAATTTGACCAGCTCTATATTTAAGCTACTGAGCATGAAAATTAATTACTCACAGAACGTAAATTAATGAAACCTATAAACACTGAAGAAACCCAATTTCAGAAAAATAATTACAAGTTTTAATAAAATTACTACAAACTTTTGAAGAATACATAGCAGACCAAGGATACGTAGATATAACAAGAACTTATTAATATTTAAGCGCAGTTTCCTGTCATTTTATAAGTAACTAATAATATGATATTTTTTCAATATGTAACCACTGTGAATAGCCACTTCTTCCTTCTAAGATAGATCGCGTTATTACAGCAAATACAAACGTATACGTCTCTGAGCAGTACTTTGTGCCGTTAATCTGCAAGGGCTGGGTGCAACAAAGATAGTGGGCACCTAATATGGGACAGATCAACTAAGCATGACCTCAAACGATGCGAGCCACGCATCACGAGCTCGTGTCCCCGTCAATGAGGTCCACTCGTTAACGCCACCACAAAGCTATCTCCGTAAAGTGGGCTAAGAACAAAAGACAATCGCTCTTTTAAGTACTTAATATTATTTCTCTTGACCAAGCAACATGGTTCGAATACTATAAGAGGAAAAATTAATTTTGGTCTTTTTAAAGTTGGAATGTTCAGTACAAAATATATGAGGCACTAGTTTTTTTGTTCTTATTCCGCAAAAAGAGCAATGTGTAAAATTGAGATACGATTTTAAAAGAAAGACTAATTAAAACTATTTGACGCACTTAAAAACGACTGAGTAATTTTGCAGTACCTATTCAAGAAGACAAGTGGCGTAAATTGTAGTTATATACACAAACTATCTTTACATTAAAAACCAACCAAGATGAATATTTAAATACTGGTATATTAGGAAAATCAGAGGCAACTGCTGAGTTAGTTTAATTCTGGCAATTCAAATCTTTCTCTTGATTGAATTTTAAGTAGTAACCAATGGCAAAGTTTATAAAAAAAAACTCATGGTCACGAGCCAACCACTTGGGATCTTAATAACGTTGACTTTTGCCCATTATTGGAGCATACATAAATGCTTATTCAAGCAATCGACTCCCACGTTTAGTTTTACGAAGTAGACCATCTTTGGTCGATAAAATCATCGTATTATTAGCGAACACACAATATTGCTCACAAAATATTATGATATACTTTTAGTTTCTACAATCCCCAATTGAAATAGAAGGGTTTTTCTGGTTGTCTATAGTATTTGGATAAGTTGTCAATAAATTGTAAATTGAGGTTGACACGCGCGTTAAATGTAATATAACACTATAGGCACTTTTAGTGTGCGTAGATCAAGGCAGACCACTGTCATGTAAAGAAAAATAAAAAGAAATATTTTAATATGCATCCTTAAGTTGTTGTCGTTGTTCAACTAAATTATATATGTCTATTTATTGGGTACGATTTAACAACCATCCCCATCGATTATATTCGATAAAGCCTATAATCAAATGGTGAAGCAACAAAAATAAATTGTACATGAATTGTTTCTTCGTATTAAAAATGAACGGCTCACCAAAGTTGTTACGACGCTCGCGCCTAGCGCAGCACTTCCAAAACTTCATACCGCAAAGTGTCGGTTAATTTCAGAGGCGACGATGCGGACGGCCGCGGGCGCAAGTTGCCATCGTCCAACTGACCGATCGGCGGGGAAACAATGACTTGTGTTTACGAATGGACGACGCGCTAATAATTTATTAAATTGCCGAGCCGCTGGCGAGACCGTTGAGGCGAGTAGCGCAAGTGTGACGAACACACCCCCGACGTCCAATCTCCGGCTGTGACTGCACCGGGCGATCAATTAAGGGAGAGGATGGCGTGGGTGAACGGTACAGTTCAATCCTCCATCGTCACCCTGTTTGAGGAACTCGAGGATTGCTTTTTTTTTTTTGTTTGCTAAATAAACATAATCAACACGTGCTAGCGTAAAAAAGTTTATTTTCTATCACATAATGTCTTCCTACGGAATTATGTTGGAACATGTGTTGATGTCGAATATAATCCTAGGGCCAAGTTCCCATGATTCAAAGCTAGTCTGAATATCTCCGTTCAATTTCATCACATAATTTTCTGCTAGTAAAGTTGCTGCAATCTTCACCACAAAATACTCCGGTTCTATGCTTATATAAATATTACATATCATTTTAAAAATATGACATTAAAAATGATAACTAACATAACAATAATAATAGTACAAAAATGCTTTGTAAACATCACACTGCAATTACTTTAATCAGGGCATTATATTCTGAGTTCTATTTCTTAAGCTGTCTTTTGTTATAGATATTATTGTGGCATCAATTTAAAGCGCTTCAAAACTCACAATTTCCATTTCTTTTATTGCACTATAAAAATACATAGGTAAGCATAATTTCTAGGCACATTTCTGTACTCTATAAGTAAAATTTGATTACACACTTATCATGTACTCCTATAATTACAAAATTTATTACATCTTAACTGAAAAATAGTCAAGATACAATTTCATGTCACAATTGGTGTTTGGTCTTAAAATTTTTTATGAAAATATGTATTTGAAAAATAATGAATCTCTAAACATTTTACACTCAACATTTTTGCATTGCATAAAAATAATAGCAATTAAGCCACATCTGATTTTAAAAATCATTTTAATATTTAAACAAACATTTTGTAAATTGCCAACACTATGAATGTATTCCAGTACAAGAAAGCTAGGAACAATTTGATAATTAATTCGTTTAGACTTTTATGCCATAAATTTTTTTGGCAAATAGATGTGCTGTATGGGTAGGTAACACATAAAAATTTAAAATATCTAAAAAATAAGAAGAAGGTTACAAACGGACGCGAAAAAAAGTTTAATGCTTTAAGCTAATAGTAGAGTTTTATCGAAAATAACATGAAACAAAATATACAAAATGATTTTACAATTTCTATCACTGCCATTTTTTTTAAGAAGTGTCAATATATGGAATAGTAATTAATGTTATTATTGCATCAAAGTTAATCAACAGAAAAATCTTACTAGTGTGTTCTATCAATACACATTTACCTGTTTGGTGTCCGTTGTTACTTACAACTAAATTCTATTCAATTAATTTAACTTTGATAGAAACACAAAAATACATTATTTGATTAGACTATAGTGGTCTCCATAAACATAGCAATTGCTATCAACTAAAATATATATAAAAATTCATCTATCCCAAAATAATAAAATAAAGAATAGTTACCCATACCATGTAGCGAAAGACAACACTATAAATTTGATGTGCACGAACACTTTGGATTCAAAATCGCAAAAATGATTGAACACATATTTTAATCATTCATTACTATGCTATGCTATGCTATGCTGAATTAGTTACGTTTTTATTGCATTATTATTAAGTTGCATGTTGCAATGCAATAGGTTAAGAATTAAATTATTTCACTTATCAAAACATAAGTTTCTATTTCTACTTCCGTATAATATAGAAAACAATTCATAATATATAAAAAGTGAATCCATTTTTCTTTGTGTATTGTTTTTTAAAACAATGGCAGTGACTGTTTTTTAAAACTTGCATACATTATAAACTGATTAAATTTATTTTGTAAAATATTATTCATTTTGATGAATCCAAACGTTTTTGTATATGGGCACACTTCTAATACTACAAAAACTACACACACTTATTTTATCTCTAAATTAATATATTCCACTAAAAAGTTCAGACTGCATAGGACTATTTTTTTCATAAAAAACCTTTAATTTCAAGTCTTTATAGTAACAAAGGAATTATTACATACTTTCAAAAGCCATCCAATATGAAATTTTGATATGTTTAAAATATAATGTTACAAAAGCTAACATTCCAGAAACTAAGTATTTATTTTAAACATTAAGTTCATGTAAATTATAACCTATGTATCTAATTCAATAAGTATTTGCACATAGCTATGTATTAAGAATTACTCATCATATTTAAAGGCACTGCTTTCTGTGGGTACACAAACATACAAACTCTTTCAAGGAGTTGTGATGATAACACTATGATCAATTACAAAATATAGGAAAACAATACACATAAAAATCATAAGACTGATCTAAACTGAAGTCTATCATAATCTGAGAGCACACTTGAAAGGAAACTTAGCAGTATGAGCAATACAAACAGTAATACTACACAATATTTGGAGGCGGGATAAGAATCATCAAATTAAAATCTAGCAGTGTATACAATAGTGTGATCAACCAAATGTTTAAAATAAAAAAATATATAAAACACACTACATAGCTACAGCTAACATAATCGTGAAAAAATATGATTAAATTTATACTTACAGATACTTGTTTGCATCAGTATTTTTTCAATCAATACTGAAAAGGTGTTGTTAACCTAAGTATCCACTAACTTATTGCCAAAGTTACAAGTGGCCTTAAATAAAATCCATTACTACATGCCACCAACTATGTAGCCAAGAACATGGTATTAGGTGATACCCAAGAGTTCAGTTTTTAATAACGCTATATTGCATCTTGTTATGATTTAGATGCTGGTGTACTTTCTTGTCAATGTCTATACCATGCACCTTGAACACGTGTTTGGAAATGTGACACAGGTGTAACTAAGTAAGCTTGTTGAGGCTGTTGAACAACTGCTAAAGGTATAACTTGTTGTGCCATTTCAACTGGTTGACCACTATCCTCTGAGACACCCAGTGGTTGCACACAATGTTGCTGAGCAACCTGCTGAACTCCACTGACTTGTTGAGTCAGTACCTGTTGGTGTTGGCTCACTTGAGGCACCAACATTTGTTGCTGCATCGTTTGTTGCTGTTGTGTTTGCTGCTGATGTATAACAACATGTGGACCTTGATTTTGCATTTGTTGATGTTGTTGTACTTGAACTTGTTGTACTTGCTGCTGCTGGTGTTGTTGTACTTGCTGCTGTTGTTGCTGTTGTTGCTGCTGCTGCTGCTGTTGTTGTTGTTGTTGTTGTTGTTGCTGCTGTTGTTGCTGGGCTTCTTGTTGAGCATGTTGTTCCCTTTCTTGTTCCTCTTTTTTCTTTGCTTCCAAAGCAGCTTTTTTAGCTTCTGCCTTCTCTTTCTCTTGTTGAATTCTGACAGGATCCTTGTTTTTGTCATATGTCATACATTTACCACTGCGGAAAGGTACCATATCTTTTGGTATATCTTGCTTCTTGGTTGCAAACTTCACATGAGGAAACTGATCCTTCATAAATGCTCTGAAAGTTGAATAACCCATCAACTTAACACCAGGTTCCAAAATTTCCCCATATTCTTTGTATGCTTCAAATAAATGCTTCCGTGAATCACCCTGAATAATAACTGTTTTACTTGTTTTCTTGCCTCCTTCTCCTGATGGCTGTACATCTTTGGGAGAGCATGCATGTTGTTTTAAATATTCTTTTAGAAAGTTGGTTGCATGTTTGTAAATGTCCAATGTGAAAGTATTATATGGCTTCTTACCAACATTGCCATGAATTCGAGGTGCAACACCATGTGTCATGACATGTTGTCTGATTCTCTTTAACTGATAATGAGTAACATTCTCTAAATATAAAAAAGCCTCTAAGCAAACTTTTCTTCCTTGATAAACATAACATGCTCGGAGTCTCCTTCTTACTTTATGCCGGGAGGTTTCTGCTGGATTTGCTAAACTAGCCATTGTTATGCCCATCAAGTACATATCATGTTCGCTTTTAGTTAGTTCTGCAATATTGAGTCTATGACGATATACAGCTTCTGGGTTCAGACCTCTATAGCAGTTGTCTTTGCAATCACAGCCTGCGTTTCAGTCTTTCTTTTACCTGAAATTAAATAATGCCATGGTAATCTCACATTATTCACTAAAATTTGATCTCAGGAAACCCACATCAACAATAAGAAGTTTCTATAAATATGCTGGACATTTAGTAAAACTTTAATTGGAAAATAAAACATTGTGCTTAAAATTTCCAATCCCATAATAATTTTATATGCATGGTATTTCTTCAATTGTTTAATTCTATGAAATGAATTCAGTGACTAATTATTTTTTTGATGCTTGCTCATGGACACCTTAATTTGTATATTAATTTTTCTTGGACTAGAATATTGTATTTAAAGAGTTGTCATATATAATAAAGATAATTACTAATTTCTTTAGCCCTCACATTAAATCCGATGGATTGTGCTGTAATGCAGGTCTCATAATTGAAAATATTCTCCAACAAATTTGTTGTGTTAACATAGTATTTTTTATATTCTTAAGAAATATGAACTTGAATGTATGATAAGAATAAAATTTCAGTAAAATATATTTTTAATCATATCACCTGTGCAGGGTTATCTTCTAACTTGTTATCAAAAACATCCTCATCACTATCTGATTCTGCCAATTTCTTCTTTCGTTTAGTTCCCGCTTTCTTTTCAACTTTTGGTTTTGTATCTATCTCCATATCACCAGGTTCTCCATCAACATTTGTTTCAAATGCTATACTGTATGTGCCCTGCATGCCCTGCATATTACCATCTCCGTTTTCTACCTGTATAGTATGACCTTGCCAAAGAACCTAAAAATTTAAAAATTTTAGTTTGAAATAGGTTTGTAACTATAATGAACTATGTTTTAAAGGTAATAAAGAAAAAAACATAGAATACCTGTTCTTGATGTCCATTGTAAGTGTGCTGTTGCATATTTTGTGAGTTTCCCAATTCAAAAACTGAATGTTGTCCCATGACAGGAGTGTGCCATTGGGCACTTTCGCCATACTCGCCTCCACCGTTTTGATCGGACGGAATAGAAACTATAATCGCTTCTTTGCTGTCGACGCTTCTCCGCTCCACGGATAGCAAGGAATGTAACACTTCACTCGCTTCCTTCTCTGCTGGATTCACCACCTCCATCTTCTCGTAAGACATATCGCTCGCCTGAATCTACACTACAACCGATCGTTTATGTCAAATCACATGTACTTACATACGTGTATGTACTAATAAGCAATGAGCGACACGACAAACCCGCCCTGAACGATACAACTTCTCCATATCCCACTATACATACGAGAAAACCGCGATAACTTTTCAAATTCTTGTAAATAAACATAACAAAAACCGTGCAATTATTAACCTTAATCGCGTTTTTTAAGTTTCATTATCGCATAGCGGATCGAACTCCCGTGGAATATTGGGCCATATAGTCATACCAAAGAAAGAATGAAACTCACCTTTTTCGCCTAAATTCAGAAGACGAGACACATTAAATTGTATTTCTTCAGTTACTCCTTGATTGTGGTATCATTCAAATCACTTCATTTTGATACTATAGTCATAATTGAAGAGAAATGGACAAATAATTCACAGAATTTACGGAAGCAATATGGCGTTACACTTTCCGTGAATAAAGTCGGAGGACGCCGTAGAACACGTCAATAGTACAGTGCGCATCCACTAGGCAGCGCTCGAATCGACTTTTCCGTAACGACGCATTAATCCAGAGCGCGAAAATTTAAATATATTCACAATATTATTCTTTAAATATATGTATATTTATTTATTAACATAGTGAGGCGAAAATATACCCTAATGTTTTATATCCCAAAGTTTTCATGGGTCATATTCGGAGTCACCAATTTTAGTCCGTAATGTACACGCAAAGGTTTCTTATTAACCGTAAAGTCACAAAATAAAGCTTACAAATTTACTTTCTGAACGGTAAATGTAATTGGAGGTTTTCATCATATTCATTACATTTTTACAAAAATTTAAAGTTTAACGAGAATTAAAAAATATCTGTTCTTATGATACCTGTTAAAATGATTACGTAATAAAATATAATATATGTAGAAAAATTATTTTAATTTTTGATTGATTAGATACTCATGAGAGATCAATAATGAGTGAAACTCTGGTAAATATTGACTTTTAAATATCCTAATTAATCAAAGTATGCACCTAATGTTAAGTGAATACCACCGCCCATGGGCATCTGCAACACCTGAGGGTCTGCAGATGTGTTGACAACCTTTTGAAAATTGGGCTCCGGCTACCACACTCACCAGACGAAACACGAAGGTATTATACTTCCACTTTACGCCGGTCTTCTGTGATATCGTGGTACTTACCCAGACGAGCCTGCCCATTCGTGCAACAGCCGACTTCCGTACCACCGTTAATAAGTAAACCGTAAAGATGTATGTAATTACTCTACAAGTTTATATTAGTCGGGTCATGTTATATATAATTTATAATCGCCTATAGGGCCGGTTTCAATATTCTATATAAATCTGTAGATTTGGTTACTGGATATAGAATATTGAGAAGTGTTTTGGAGCTAATGTCAAATATCTATCGCTAGTCACCAAATTTACAGATAGATAGAATATTGAAACCGGCCGATAGGCGATAATCAAAAAAGGTAGTATAATTATATTAAGATCGCGACATGGCTAGGCTTTCAACGCAGCTCTTTGCATTTGTATGTATTCTGTACAATGCATTAAACTGCATGCATTAAAACGTTAATTTGTCAGGCCAGAACACTATAATTATGTAACATTGTAAATGCGCAAAAACTTCCGTGTATATTACTTATATCTTGAGAATTCGATTAAGTTCTAATCTGATAACATAGAAGAAGGCATACCCCATATTTAAGCAACATGAAAATTATTGCAGTGAACGTAAGAAAAGTATAAAAATATTGTATCAGGCAAATCAGACACTCAGTCATTTAGAGGGTCCGCACTGACGTGGAACCAATGAATTTCCGACAGCCAGTCCCAGTCCATTTTGTTAGATGGTTTGTATTATATTAATACACAGCGTCGATACTAGTGCATATACATATTTTAGATCGAATAACTAGAAATCAATAAGCCTAATAAGACTTATTAATTTATGATCAAAATTTCCTTCTCTGTTATATGGTACACAATAAATTGATTTAACCTTACTTAAAGAGCCACTTAGCGTAAATCCTAATAAAAATAATCTAAAAACTACACTGCTTTTAGAGACATTATGAATTCTGTACTATCGACTAAAAGAGTCTCGCAACACGGACAACAGCATAAAAAACTCTAAAGGGCTAAAATATGTTTGTAGTATGGGACTAAAACAAGACTTCGGATTCGAGAACAATGCGCCAAATTATATACGAAAGTGATAATTCCGGGGACGGTTGCGGCATCAAAGAGTTGTTCCGTGTTGTCGCTCTGGATTGCAACAGTGCATTTCGTGCGAGATTCGGAAGCTCCTTCCCACGCAATGATGTGAATCGAAGAGATTTCGGTGGCTAGAACGCCGACTTTACTCAGTCTTCCTTTCGGGAAACTGTTAATAGTTTAAGCGTTAAGTCACACCAATATGTTCCTTAGTCACTATACATCTTACCTTAGAGGTTTTCGAAAAAATTTTTATATTTTTTTATAGTTTTTATTTTATGCTTCGAGTCATTTTTATTTCACTTATTTGATTAATTCCTTCCAACTTGTATTATTGTGACGACTGTGAATTCAGCAAAATTTAAAATTTTAACGATGAAAACTGTTCTTAGATGATTTTCCTTTATTATTTATGAAATAAAATTGAGTGGTTAAAGCAATATCTTACGAATTTTATCGCATTTCATTTTTAATTGTCATGATAAAAGGAAAATAAAACGCGGACTCATCGGTAAAATAATATTAATTAGTCATGTGATCAGTACAGTATTCGCATAGATACCAGAAATCATTGTAATATTTAATGTCAAAGTATGGAGACAAAACACGCGATTTGTTTGGAATATTAGTAAGGAGTAGTTATCCAATTATTTTATAGCAAGTTCTTAGTTATGAAAACCTGTTTACTTATTTATTTATTGTTAAGAACCACCAACATGTTGTTTTGTAATTAAGTATGACAATAGTCTTAGGAACTAAGATTTACACGTGATTCCACTTAAAGGTTACAGCACGTACATAAAGACAAACATACGACAACTTAATGATTTATTAAGAAATTTAAAAGTTTCTTTAATTAATAACTTAAAATAAAATTCGGTTATATTTAATAGTGTAGTATACGCCGCTAAGCGATATGATAGGAAAAACCATACATAAGTTCAACTCCAACTCCATCATACATATTTATTATAAACTTTGATTATAAATGCATTATGTACCTATTATCGTCTAAGATTTCAGAACAGAAGAAACAAAAAAAATAAAAATGTGGCACATTTTTTACGTTTAACATCTTTTTTATATTTTTATTTTATGCCACTAAACTAACCAGTTTTTTCAAGATTTATGTAGAATACTTGATTAAATGAATTCATTTAAATTGGTTTATGCATTGATTTATAGTGAAGTGCGCTTATTAATTGTGTTTTATTTATGAATTAAATATTACGTGTCGAGAAGTCGATACGAAAATGTAAATTTTAGTTCTCGTTACTTTAAAATGTTAGTTAGCATTTTTCTAAGTTAAATTTAAATTAAGACATCCTTAAGAATCTAATTACTTACCAACTGCTGAATCCAAGGCAAAGCAGCTGCTCCGGGACTTGACTACTTGACCTGGCGAAGGTCCATCGGGCCACTCCATTCTTTCTTCCATAGCTTTCGAAGCGCTCCTCTTAAATTGTTCGAGAAAACTGTCTATTTGCGTCTCTAAGCTCGTTGGCGAGGTAGCCATCGTTTCCACCGAAAACACCAAAAACAAACACAGTTCGATATTCGGTCTACGACATTTTCATTGAACGTTGTTATTTCCGTGGATATCGAATTTTTCGCGATGCCATAATATTCCTTCTGAAAAATCTTATTGTATTGTAACTGCACATTTTTATTCGTTTGCGATCATCTACTCCAATCTTTTACGTTTTATTTTTATCAAAATATCCCGCAATTCATTCCAGCAGGTATGAAAGAAACTATAGCAACATGCTGTGAGTGATGTGATTTTACTACGGGTACCGTTATTCTATATACGGCATCGAAAATAAAACAACATCCACCGACATCTATCGATCGTTGATAACAGCTGTTCGTTTAGAGTTGCCATTGTAATGAATGTCAAATGAAAAAATGGTTTAATTTAGTACATTATTATTTCCATGATAGTGTGTTTACCTAATATTGTAAAAATATGTTTCATTATATTTCCATTTCCAAAGTAAACGTGAACTCGCGTTACACATGTGCGTACACATTTGACATAATATAATGATTGTGGTGTGACTGTGCAGTGCCTGTACTGCCCTGTCTGTAGACACTAGCGCCGCGACGTGTGGGAAGCCAATAATAGATCGCGTTTGCCTTTGCTTTGCATCAGTATTGCGCGAGGAGAGCGTGTAGCTTGTGATATTATAAACGGTGACTTGAATTGTCACACACGAGACTACACCCGGCGGCAGAATGTCAAGTAAGTGCTTCGTTTTAAATTTAATAAGTACCGATAATGTTTGGTTATAATAAGTAAATACCACAGCCCATTGGAAACATAACTAAAAGCAAATTGTTTAGTTTTTTCCCAATGAAATATGAACGGGTAGTTGTAAAAAATTACATCTTTTATTTTATATTCCAAGAAATATGATCTAGTTTTCCTTATTTTTGCTTTTTTTATTTCGTAAAGGAACAATAATAAGGAAAAATCAATGTAATCAAATTATCGTCGGTTTGAAGCACGTTTTCTTTGCAATTTTATTTTTGTATAAAAACAATGACAAGAAAACGTACAATGTATGTTCTGTGTGCTATGCTCAATCTTAAAAATTCTATACAGATTTTTTTTTATTCTGACCACCTATATAAACATCATAAAAATATGCCTATTGTATTGGAGCCCCATTTAAAAAAAATATTCTGTTTTTTAGTATTTGTTATAGCATAAACAGAAGTGATCATCTGTGAAAATTTTAACTGTCCTAACTGTCACGTTTCATGAGATACCAGTTTGGTGACAGTCGGACAGACAGACAGACAGACAGACTGACAGCGTGGAGTCTTAGTAATAGTTTTACTTTTACCCTTTGAGTACGGAATCCTAAAAAACGTGTATACAAATAAGTACTATACAACGTCGCAAAAGTACCAAAATCGATTAATTAAAGGTGAAATCTATTTACGACTTTATTAATGCTTCCTCGGTAATTGACTATTAAAGCACTATTATGCACACATGCGCATTTTGCGTATGTGTTATCAGATTAAATTCTACGAGATTGTAAACATACTAATGTTATCAGTAAACTGCTCGTTTATCATTCACACATGTATATTTTAACAATAATTTGTTTTTGGTTATATTGAAATTGCAGTGACCTTGACAATGAGGCTTATTTTGTTATATGCTTTAAAAGATAATATTAAGCGAAAGCTATTCCTATTTTAGCAGTAATCCAATACTGAAATGAAGATTATTAATCTTGTGGATGTATACCTTGGTGGTCTTGCGGTTTCATAGAAGATATTCAATACATGCCGCCGAGGTTCACCCAACCCGATTGCGGTATAATAGTCGCCGTTTGTGCGTTCAACATTCATTTGTCGACAATTTGTAATCGTGCCTTTATGGAATTTGCAACAATAAAGTTTCACATACTTCAATGAAATTGTAAAAGAGCTCGCCGAAACTGAAACGTTACCATTGAAAGACTTTCAATGAAGACTTACTAATTTTGCACCATGTTGACAATCCAGCGTTTGTGATTTCCATACTTTTATACCTAACTAATATTTTCTTCACAAGGTTTACGATAATTTATAAAATGACTTGGTGCAATTTATATTCTTTTTCTTTTATTTTTTTTTCTTTTATTTTCAATTGTAATTATATATATATTTTTCGACTCTTTACAAGCTTGCACGGACTCTTTTTAAGAAAGCATAAGGAAATGCTATTAACGAAAACTGTCTCACCAATCGGAATATTGACTTGAAGCGTGATGCAGTGAAAGTATGTAAAGATGTGCTATAATGCTCACGCGTGATTAATTTCAACGCTTTAATGAAAATCGGCCGGTTACCGCGTGTTGCTGTAAAAGTAACAGTAGATATTAGAGGCAACATGAACAATTTATTTGACGGTTGCACTCGTATGCAGCGTTAAGCGGCCGTCTGCTCGCTTGGTTACCGCCGGACCGGCCGCACCTAAATAGAAACCACAGGGACATTGCTCCCGTCTCCTCAGTCTGATCCTGCGGCACGGTTCTCAAGTGCCTTATTGGGCTCCGTTGCGACGTTACATAGAGCTATTGAAAAGTCGAACGAACAACGCCGCCTATACGTTCGAAATTTAAAAAATGGACGATGATTCGAAATATTACTGTGGCCATGAAGTTTATAAATCGATCAATTGTCTCCAATATTATGAGACTAAAAAAATAGTATTTAAAGAAGCGCTGTTGCTGATTTTGTTTATTGCTTTACCAGGCATATAATTCTGGTTTGTCCACTATTACCGAATGATGTTAACGCTGTACTGGTGTGGAACACATAATTTTATTCCTGCCTTAAAAATACGTTTTAATGAGAATTGTGAGTGGTATTGATCTTTTGCAAAATATCATTCAAGACTAGAGAAGAACTTCCATTTCACTTGACAAAAGGTTCTGTTATTTTACATACCTTATTATAAATCCTTTCGAAATCAATTGAAGTAAATTTGATCCCTTTGAAAGTAATTGTTTGGCCGCAGCTATTTAGAAGCATTAATTCCAATAAAGCTCCCAATTGGAAACTGTCACCATAACATTTGTGAGTTTTATACAATGAGCACGCCAGCAATAGCTAAAAAGCTCACTTGACAAAGACTGACATCGGCAAACCAAATTGTTCCATTTCTTTTCTGGGTGTAAACAGTAGGAAAAGCTATATAATATATTGTTTCTTTTTTACTATAAACAATACACGAACAATGCATAACTCAAATCCAGCGTAACCAATTACTTTTTTTACATCATATAGTTGCTCCCATTAAAAGCAATAGTATCGTCACTCATATACGTGATCTTTTAAGCTTAGTAGAAAAGAAAGCGGAAAGCGCGACATGTCTGTCTGAAACCTTGCTAACATTGTTTTGCTCAATGTTAACCACAGAAACACTAAAAATCTTGGCAGTTTCTGTAAATTTAAAATTTTTCTATAATTTGAAACAAGACTGCCATTATTAGCATTAAGCCATAATAATCGGGATATACATATGAAAGTGAAAGGCGAGACACTTTACGTTTCTTTTTTTTCTGTTTTAATTCAAACAAAATTATTAAGTTAATTTATAAAATTATGTGCTGCAGAATTTCCTAGCCTTGCACTGAAATGAAACTATTTACTCCACAAACGCTTTACTTGTTTTCCGTCGAGATGCCCGGTATTAATGGCCTCCGTAACCCAATAAAATATCGGGACAGTCCACCGGCTTCCCGGAAAGCTGGCGAACGCAGCCGCCACCGAATATCTGACGGCGTCGAGTAGTTTTATTTTCAATTTTATTTGTGTCGCGCTATTTTGGATGCGAACGTGCGGCACTTGTCTATTACACGATGCCGCCGCTGGCCCACGCGGGCTCCACGCTGTTCACGTGAATAACACAAAGCTAATTTAGAACAATGACAAACTTATACGGCACGACAGTTATCCGAAATATAATCTTGTCGCATATCGTTCACTGGAGCGATCCAATAAATTAAATAATCATCTAAGTTGAGATCGTTGTGCGAAGATTCTTTTAACAATCCTACCTTCATTGTAATGAATAGTTACTGTATACTATAAGTTATATTTAACAAAATTTTATAATAAACTAATCTTAAATATAATTCTATATATTATGAGTATATATTTCATCATCATCCTCCTGCACGTGCACTTAGATGGGTCGGCTCATGTGAAAGACGTTATTAGTAGTATATGCTAGATTTTTTATGACCGGCGGCTTCCCTGAAGTCAACCCTCCTTGGGTACAAACATCCAAATCCGGATACACAAATACCTACAAGTACCGTGTGGGAAACAAACCCACGACTCCAGACTCTGCGTAGCAGCCAACAAATAAGCAACTTCGCCGCCGAGTCATCAGAGTATAATTATATTAAAAACAGATAATTATTGCATGAAAGCAGTCTCAAAGGGTTAAATATTTTCTAACTTGCTTAAAGGGCTAATTGGATCAGAATAATTATGGATGTAACAAAACAAATATGTTAAAAAACAATATAGTTTTACTTTTAACGGCTGACAACGAATGCAATAAACATCATCGATCATGAATATCGTTCTCTATTATTATTTCCGTAAGTGAATATTGACGTGATGAGTCTTTGATGTAGGTTCCATTAGTAAACGTCTAGAATTACGCAAACTTTTCAAGAGTCCTAACGTAGTGTGGTACCTACTCTTCAGTCCACAAACTCTTACTGAAGAACTTCTACTTTGAACATTGCTGCGTCATTGGAAGAAAAACTACCAATCATCCAAACACGCGCACACGCATTTATAATAATAACACGGAAGTCAGTCTAGTGACTAAAATGCTGCAAGTCCCTAATTTGCTCTGGACGTGTAATTTTGTCCTGTGACGTTTATTAGTCATTGACATATACATAGACGAGTTACACCGTTGTAACGATCCGAAAATAACATCCTTCGACCAAATTTGGGCGATCACTATTATTTATGCGGGGTGAGGGTAATGGGTGGCCAATTGTAGATTGTCCACGTGCCAGTAAGATTTCGCTCGATCAGTGGGCGCTTCTAGCTTCTACGCGTCTAGGCGCCCGGGGAACTGCGCATTATCCCGCTGACAGTGGCGAATCACCGAGACACGGGACCGTCGGAATGGCGTAATCCTTGAAAACGGCGGGTTTCTAGTTATTTTCGAAATGCACGCGCGTCATTGGCGTGTGGTGGCGTTGCGATTAAATTCGTAAGCGTCGTTATTAATGTACCATGTTTACGAAAGTAAAACATACGAGCGTCCGCGTGCATCTTTACAGTTCCCCAAATTCTTTGATTGATGTTTTTTAAGAGGGCGGGGTTTGAGGGATGCAATTTGAGAGTTCAATTTAAGGGCTTAATGTATGTATGTAATAAAAACAATCTATCAATTTTTATTTGCAATTGGCAAAAATGTTAATTTACTTTAACTGATATTATTAATATCAGTTAAAGTAAATTAACATTTTTATAAAATTCTCGTGTCACGGTCTTTGTAATTGAACTCCTCCGAAACGGCTCGACCAATTTTCGTGAAATTTGGTGTGCATATCGGCCAGGGTGGAGAATCGGACTACATCTATTTTTCATCCTCCTAAATGTTAAAGGTGGTTCACCCTAAACAGTTTTTTCTACCCTACAAATTCCCTAGAAATAATTTATATGGCATAACAACCTTTGCCGGGACAGCTAGTAACATATAAAATGATGTAAAATATATGTTCATATTTTCCTTATGAATTTTTAGATTCAGACGGCTATCTATATTTTTTTTATGTTAGGAGGTGGCAAGCGAGCTGGCGATTAACCTGATAAGTGATGAGCGCCGCCGGTGGACATTTGCAACACACGTAGGGTTGCAGATGCCTTGTCAGTGTCACCTTTAAATAAAGTGGGCCCCGGTTACCTCACTGACCAGACGAAACGGAGAAATGTAACAGTTCTACTTCACGCCGATCTTCTGTGAGCCCGTGATACTTCCCCTGACGGACCGACCCAGCCATGCAACAGTGACTTGAGTGGCCCTACCACAGTTAAACCTAGAATCAAATATGTTATTTGATTTTAGTAAGCTCTGTTTGCCATACTCCTACATAAAGATAATTCAAGAGAAATACGCTGCTTATAAATAGGGTTTATATATAGTATGAAATTATTAATTAAAATTAATGGTCTCTTCGATTTACGGAAACACAATGTAAAGAAAACTATGCTACGGATTTTATCCCATATTGGATAATCAATTATGTATTGCAGTATTTGTCCGGAATTGGAAAACAGGTGGAGTCTGTTCCGTGCCCACGGATGCTCCAGTGTTTTCAATTACATCACTGTTTTACTTTAAACTTCATTTGATAAATACCAAGAGAATGAGTTGACGAATGCCTACTGTAAGTTATTCTTAATATTGCTTGCTTACACAAACAATATTTATACAACAGATACACAGCATACGTACCGGTGCGTCCTGAGGAATTATTTTGATTCAATGAATTGTCTTGACAACCACGTATACAAGATGCGTTGGAGTCATTGCGATGTATTGTTGTATTGAATGTCTCGTACAATGGAAATTATGCAGTTTGTTAAGTGAACTCGATAGGTCGTTACATCACTGATTGTCTACGGCTAAAGGCAGAATCCTATTTGATTTCAAGACGATGAAAACTTTTGTTGAATTATGACATGATATATTTTTCACTTTACAGGCATTTTTAAAGTATCAATAAAGTTTCTTGTTACTGTTCGGTTAATGTTGAAATGGTTTTGTGGCCACCTAGCATTGCTTTTCGCAAACACGAGTTACGGTTTCGATCTCCACACGGTACAAAAATTCGTGTTATCTAGTCGTTCAGTCTAGTTGTTTTGAAAAATCAAGCACTGTCGATTTCAGAATAATCATACAATTCTTTTCCGGTATATGCGTTTTCTTTTATATAGTTGTATAAACGTTAGTTAGTAATTATACAATAATTGGTTCCTTGCATACAACATTCATAAGTGTTACAATAACACATTTTACGCAACCAGCAGAGAACACTGTTGTTCTTACTGAACCATTATAGTCTTAACATCGGTGACGTAACTTGTCAAATAAAAAAAATAATACGTTTCGGTTACTAGCAATATATTTAAGTAAATTAATAATTGTAAAACTAGAAAGGTGAAAGAGAATATAACGAGGAAAATTTAAAATCTTCGGTGTCCAGGGTTCTTAACATTTCTTTGGCCAGTCATAAAATTATTCAAATAGGCAATAAAAATTAACTAGAAATAAAAAATGGTATTTTTATGGATATAGTAATTTAGGACGGTATATTTGTTACTTGTTTTTGTAAATATAAAAAAATATAGGGCACACCATATTTTTTATATCCTATTAGGAACATGAGAATACTAGACTACTGTAATGGTTAAGTGAAGAAAGACTGACGATGTATGTAGCGGCAGTGCGTATCAAATTTTCTAGACTAGGCTAAGGCTAAATGATGCATACCAGATTGATGACGTGGTATCAAGACTTTTAGCATCTCCACTTGGGTTCGTGGATTTAATTCCCATGTGACAAGTATTTGTAAGATTCACAGATGATTGTCCTGTGTTTGTTCCCAAGGGGTTGACTTCAGGCAGGCGGTCGGTCGTAAAAAATCTAGCCAATGGCATTAACAACATGATATTTTTGTAAGTACACAATTAAGAAGTTTTAATGTAATTTCGATTTCAGATCGAGCGTGGGTCACGTTGGCTACCAACGATTCGTACGGCCTAGGAGCCCTGGTGCTGGCGCACTCGCTGCGCCGCGCCGGCACCGCCTTCCCAGCAGTGGTGCTCATCACGCCGTCGGTGACAGAGGCAATGAGGTACCAACCGTTGTCTCGGACTCAAGAATTGTACAATGGAAACAAACTGCCTGTCATGGTCACTATGTATCTCTTTCCAGTCGCGTTGCATTTTTATGACGGACTCGAATACAATGCAGAATTGTCACGAATCAATAACATCCTGTTCAACACAACAACAGCTGGATCAACACTTGTGATAAAATACAATTTAGACAGCGATACGTTGTTAAAGCTTATTGTTAACGAGCCAGTTTTAAAACTGCGAATTTGGCAAGTTTTAATTTTTATAGATCGCGCAAAACCGTTCAATTAAATGGATGTACCGTCGTGTGCCTAAATCGCACGAGCAAAGAAATTTTTCTAAACAAAAACCGTAAGGCTGACAATTTTGATGTGATAAGAGAGAGCAATACCTTGTTCCTCACAGTCTGACATAAATAAAATATAATTCTTCTGTGCGTGTGTATGTGACTGAACTCCTAGATGAATGGACCGACTTCGATGAAATTTTTGTTTGTGTTCCAGTGAATTTAAGAATTGTTTAGATTCACAATTCGGCCGCTACAAAATGTTTTTAATTATTTTTTTATTTATACGTCGTCGTCAGATTTAAGACGTGTGTATAGGATACTATGTCTGTCGGGTCCACTAATATAGTATACGTGATGATAACAGTGGAGCCCTATATATCAAAGTCAACAATTATATATTACCAGCTTATAATGTATACGTGTATTAATTATTTCCAAATAAGGTTTTTATTTTATTTATGACATTTATATTTTTATTACATGTAACATTTTTTTTAAATATTATACGCAAAGCATTCATAGAAAGCATTACACCTAACTTAAATTTGGATGGTTACCTAATACATCGGATGCCTTAAATGCAGTTATGATTACAAAATAACACTACAACACATTCTGACTAAGAAAAATACAGTTCATATTCTCACATCTGCGCTCTCGGCGGGGTAGACAGAGATTGCTATTGACGTACTTTTATCAGAAATTGCGATAGGAATCCGAACCCACGACTTCAGATCGTGAGTCAATATTTTATCCACTAGGCCTGGTCTAGTAACAATTTAGACATGTCGCCTTAAGTATAGATTGTGTCAGTGAAGATACATAAGGGGAAACTACATCTCTCCTGTGTTCAGGGAACGTCTTGGCGCGGTGTTCGCGGACGTGGTGATGGTCGACGTCCTGGACTCAGGTGACGCGGCACACCTCGCCCTGCTGCAACGCCCAGAGCTGGGACATCACCTTCACGAAGATCCACTGTTGGAACCTCACCCAGTACGAGAAGTGCGTCTTCCTCGACGCGGACACTTTGGTAAGACGCTCGCGCATACTAGATGCAGCTCTAGTCTTTTTCACATTGACAGAAAACATAGTACTACTCGGTCCTGATACATCCCTAATACGTCGCACAAGCACACTTTGGGCCCCTGATGGTAAGGAAAAAAAGTGAATGACAAAAACGTTTTTTCTGCTATTATCGTTTTTTTATTTATTCTATAAACTTCTGCCAAACTATATCAACCTAACATAGAGAAAAAAATTCGTGACGACAGGGGCCCTGAGCACGGGCCCCGTGAGCCCTCATGGTAAAGACGGTACTACGCCCTGTTATTGGCGCCACTGCAAATCACAGGCTTTATTTGTGTCGATCAATTAACACATAAATTTCAGTACCACACATACACCTAAATAAATTCAAGGAACATTGAAATTAAACTCTCTATTAAATATAATATTGAGTAAATATAATTTTTGGACAGCTCCGTAACTCGGTTACGACAAAGCTGACAAAGAATATTTACAAGGCAACTGTGAAGGGAGGTACTGCTGTGAAGGGAAGGAATGAACTCTTATGAGTTAGATCAGTGACACGGATGAAGAAAGTTAATATGAGCACTGGTAAGAAGATTTAAAAAGTCGGTAGATTTGCATGACATCAAAGAGATATTTGGATAGTAGCATACTTGTGTGGATACAAAGGGCGTGGGTGATTGTGTGTATATGCATAAATATGCATATTTGTGTTCATATATCTGTACGCGTTTATGTATAATACGATTATTTTCACTTAGTTGTTGATTGAAATAAGAATCGGTTTCTTTAAAGTAATCTTTGGTAGTGTAAGATAAAGAATTGCAGTCAACAATTATGTACCAAAGGTTTCGTAATTTGTGATACTGCCGTTTTTAAAGTCAATATTTATTTTCGATTTTTGTTATTACTGTTCGTTGATAAAGACTTATCGTTCTTATAGAATACTCATTGCATACCCGTATTGGTCTATTTGTACATGAATTTTTATTGCAATTATTGTCTTTAGTTCATATTAACTATTCGAAATTTCATTACACTTTAGACATAAATAGATATTAGTAGTTAATATAAGCTACTACCTGCATGTATTATATTAAGTTTTAAATGCATTTTAACTTTAAATTTACTTTAAAAATTTTTTTTCAAATTTATAAACGTATGTTTTAGATTCGTGATTAGGTACCGTCATTAATTCTTGAACGACATGTCTTGAAACCACGCGCAATAAAAACGTTTATTTTGATTGGCGCGTCTTCCAGCAACTGTTTATTTCTTGTCCAACACAAAATTTCCGGATGGAACGCATTGCGTGGTTTGTGCGGCAGGGCATCGGACATTACGCCGATCGACGTCGGACAGTTGGTATTATATTCGACGATTTACGACCCTATTACAAAGTCGTAAAATCTATTTCGATTCGTTGTTTACACGACGGGAAAGTCAATGTTACCGGATGTGATCGGCCCGAACAGTAACACGAGATGACGGGACGCACAACCGTGGCCCAAATATCTGCCGCCGGCAGCTCTGGACGCGTTCCAATGTTCATAAAACACTTTCATTCTGACTTTTTCCCTCGCACTCGACGAACCGATCAATTCGAACATTCCGCCAGCTTTAACACGTAGGATTTGACCGATCAATATTAACTCATATTAACTTACGAGCGGCATTCCGTTATGTAATCGGGCTGACGGCAGAAAAACTTCGTCGTCTATAATGATTTCGGCTTCGAAAACAAAGCGAGATAGCGCCTCGATGGATTCTATCGACATACCTCGCATCTTTATCGCGGGTTATTGTGTCAAATGAAACTTCATCCACGTACAGATAAAAGTGTTCAATATTGTGTTCTTCATTTATTTGCGTGGTGACCACAACGCCACAACTCAAGATTAAACGGATAAAATACTGCAAATTGGATTTATTAGATCACAGTCGCTCTAAAACGCCCGATGCCGATAAATTGAATTAGAGCATGTTCGATGCAGACTCTAATCCAATTTATTGGATTTCGATTGGCTATAAATACATATATATGTCAATTTATTGTAATATCATGGAGGGATCATGTAATGGACGCATGACGGCATGCTATCGCTTCATTACCTACCGAACTCTATTTTTGTACATCTTCTACACGGTAACGGATAGTGGGATTAATTCTATAACTGTCGTGCAATAAATAATTGAGCAAGTGATACGCGGCTTCTGGTGAATTTTTGCAGGGAATGACTATGTAACATTTAGACGCCCAGTTAAAGCGCCATGTTTGAATGATATCAATTGAAGAATTGTTTCTTGTAATAGTAAATTCTATTTATTTTAACCGTATAAATCAGTTTTCGGCGTCTACTTGTAAATTTATCATGCACTATAAACTGAATATACACGATTTAACTTAGTTCGGGATATGAAATATGAACAACAGCAATAAATGCAGCTTGCTATTTACATTTATGTATATAGAAACATGGAACTTGTATCCGCTTTATGGTTATTGATTTAAATAAATGGTTAATTAACCAATGAAGCTTGAAAGGGCTGAATTAAATCAGCTTCGATTTATACGCAGAACTTTTGAGTGTCAGAGTCAATGTCATCGCTTGCTGGTGCCACAAAATACCTCAAACCCTATGTTCACAAAACTGAATAAAACTGTTGGTCCCAACTATTCACCGTGTAGTTCGAACAAGACAGAAATCAACTTAGTCTGAAGTGCGAACGAGACAACAATACTCTCACCAGGTATCAAATAGGGGTGCGCCCCTGTTTGCTGCGCAATGATTTAGATGAACTTCAGAGGAGCATTCTTTGCCAGTACGAACATTAACTTATATTATTTATAATAACAAGTTAAAAGGGCATATCCAGATGCAATCTTGAACATTATCCACGAGCAATTCCACGACTTTTGGATCAACTAATTTTTCTTTTAAACTGATATTGTTTTGTCAATGAAGAGTATTTGAAAAAAAAAATGGATTTGGAAATAAAGAAAGTTCGTTGCTGGCTCTTCTCGGTACTAGTTATTTTATAACTGAATAATGCGGGTGATTCAGCTCACATTAGAGAACTACGTGTTCATACTGATTGACCTATATTTTTTTTTACCATTTTTATTTACTGCCTGCATAATCCTTGCGACATTTTATAAATGCATCGCAAAGCCGATCGAAAAACGACATTATTGTATCGGCACGAACTCCCATCAACTTGATTGATAGCTACACTGCACTGCAAACTTTCAGTTTTCAATCTGCTGACGTCGCGGCACATTTTTTTAATAAGTGTAGTAGCAATCATTCTCTTAGCTTATCGCTGCCATGGACATGTACAACACCTTAATGAATGCAGATGCGCTGCGGAAGTTTGAAAAAGTGGGCCCTAAAACTCTTTTTCACGCCGGTCTTCTAACTGGCTGTGGTTTCCTCTTCTTCCCCTGAGGAGATAGTCCTTTAGCACAACAGCAGAAGTTGCGTAGCCCTACGACAGTAAAAACTGGTTGGTTATGGTGGAACAGGTATACCGAGCGTAGGAAAGGACTGTGACAGTGGTAGGGGCACTTAACTTAGCTGGTGCGCGAATGGGCATGTCCGTCTGGGAATCCGTCCGTTTCGTAGTGAGATAGCCGGGGCCAACCGCGGGTTGTTGCAAATGTCCATGGGTGGCGGTTATCACTTAACATGGTGAACCGCCTGCTCGCGGGCCACCTTCTTACATGAGGAAAAGAGACGGACTTGACCGCAATATGCTCTTCAACATCAGTTTAACCGCCGGCCTGTTTTACGCGCCACCTTCTCACATGGGAGAATTTGACCCGAATACGCTCTGCTTTCGTCCAGGTGGTGCAGAACTGCGACGAGCTGTTCGAGCGCGAGGAGCTCTCCGCCGCGCCCGACGTCGGCTGGCCCGACTGCTTCAACTCGGGCGTGTTCGTGTATCGGCCCTCCGCGGAGACCTTCGCCGCCCTCATACAGTTCGCGCAGCAGCGCGGCAGCTTCGACGGTGCGACCGACAGGTTTTTTTTAAGACGCGGCAATAGTCACCAGCCATCTTAGCGCGGGAGTTCGTATGTGTTGCCATGTTCTAAGAGTCGCGCTGCCTCGGGATCAGACGAGCCGTACCAGAACTAATATAATAATAACTTTTAAAAAGTTGTCTGGCCTGATGTGATTACCTCCACCCGTGGAGGTTTATAAACCCATTGCGAGCTATCTCACTTACTAGAGGAAACGCTAAAGCATAACATTTCCACTACACGCCGGTCTTCTGTGAGACGGTGGTTATCCCCCGAGTGAGCCGGGCCATTCGTGAAGCATTAGAAGCTATTGCTTAGCCCTGCCGCGGTGAAAGAGTTTGCCTCTACAACAGCGAACGTCCTGTCAGACGACATCTGGACGTTTACAAATACAAGGCTGTAGTGCTTTAGAGGCGTTCGATTGCAATTTTAAGTCCCGGTTAGTTTCGTTTACACGTAATTGTTGCGTTTTACGAGAAGAAAAAAAAAACTTGTTATCAAACGTAACTAAAGATAATAATAATGGGTAACAACGGGCACGAATGGGCAGGCTCGTCCGGGTAAGTACCACGACCTTGCAGAAGACCGGCGTGAGTGAGGTGGCCGGAGCCCAATTTTCAAAAGGTTTTCAACGCATCTGCAATCCTCGTGTGTAGCAGATGTCCATGGTCTGCGGTATTCACTTAACATCAGGTGAACCGCCTGCTCACTTGGCAACTTGTCACATAAAAAAAATAAAGTGAGTACTAAATATGTGAACCTTAGAAGCCGTTTAGACAAATTATATCGTTGACCCTATCGTTTTGTGTCTAATTTACACAAATAGAATTTGCCAATGTTTTACGGTAAAATATGAGGTAAAAAAACACAAGTGTGCGAACTGTGGTTAAAATGTACGGACAGGCGGTGACCAGGGTCTTCTCAACTCCTACTTCTCCGACTGGGCGCGTGGCGACATCAACAAACACCTGCCCTTCCTATACAACGTCACGTCAGCAGCCTTTTATTCGTATTTGCCCGCGCTCAAACAGTGAGTATTCATACATTATTTTCTGTTCATGTATTTAACTCCACCGTAGAGATCATAATTAATGTTTTACTCTCATAAATTATGTCATAGCTCTACCATCATTGCAACTATTTCGAATCCATTGCTGTAAAAAAGTTAAAAAAATTGTTTAAGTCTTAATATGTCCAATATAATTTACTTTGTCTGCGATTGTCGTCTCAAGAAATAAAAAAATCTTAAATTTCAAGAAAAATAAATTCAGAAAATTATCTTTGGATTTCTTACTACTTATTTATAAATTATATCTTTAATACCTATTACATTTACATGTCGATGACTAGCTTTCGTGTCTTTTCTTTAAATAGATTACAATATGGATAACGATCTTGATTGTCTTTTTACAAACACCTACTATTGAAGACTGATACAAGGTAACAACGAAAAAATAAGTAATGCATTTAATTTCAGTTGGTTTATTTTTAGATCAATTTTATTTATAATTTAAATTAAGTTTTTGTAGTATAGATCTATTATTTATTTTAATTGAAGAAACTTTACACTTAATTTTGTATATAATTATTCATCATTGAATTTTAAATAATTTGCCCTATATTATAACCAAATATTGCTTGTTGTCGCACCTCCTTACAATATTTTAAATACTGTGCTAATATTATTATTGTTAATTATAATTTACTTCTAATATCCCGTCCCTTTATCGTGTCATTCTGTTTACGAAGGAGACGAAAATGTATATTTTTCGTAAAGACTCGTAAAAAATGGCGGCTCTGTTTTAATTAAAAGTTATTTTGCACTCGCGACCTCGATGATGTTTTTAAATTAAGAATTAGTATTAGCTTTTGTTTCTTCATCCGATACAAAAATCCATTATAATTAATTAATTTACTTCTTACTAAAATATTTCCTTTAGAGATATATGTATATCTACATCTATCAAACATTTATAAGATTAATTCGTATCGGCATGCATTTTAGTGTGATATTCGTAAACTAGTATATATAGCAAACCCTAATTAATATATTCCTCTGAAAATGTATTTATTATATCGAAGCATGTCTTGCTAGTCTTATAAAAGTATCAAGTGTTTCACGGAATTTTCATGATAGCCGTCGTATTTTCCTGTCATTTATTGGTGCTGTCGTCTGGCTACGGCCGATATTCATTATAGAATTTTACCATATTTCAAAATACAACCATAATGTATTTCAATAACCGCAATACAGTATTCATTTATACTAGCGCCCCGCCCCGGCTTCGCGCGGGTGCATTGTATTATACATATAAACCTTCTTCTTGTATCACTCTATCCCGTAAAATAAACCGCATCAAGATCCTTTGCGTAGTTTTAACGATCTAAGCATACATGGGGACAGGCAGACAGCGGGACGACTTTGTTTTATACTATGTAGTGATATTTTATAATATGAAGTATACAAAACGTGAATTAAAGTACTGTAACTTACTTTAATGTGCCCTTTTCAATTTGGGATTACATAAATAACTATTTCGGGACATTTACTGGTAAACATACTTTCTTTTGTAAAATGTATTACATATATTTAATACCCAGACACAATATTTTTCCCGTAGTGGGGATCGAACCCACACCCTCTGGCGCAAGATACAGGGTCACTCAACTGCGCCAATTACTTCGATGCCAAAAACGAGCAACGCGCCCGTCTATTTCCAGCTACGGGCAGGACCTGAAAATCATCCATTTCATCGGCGCGGCCAAGCCGTGGCTGCAGCAGTTCGACTGGCGCACGCGGCAGGTGCAGGGGCCCGAGCACCTGCGCGGGCTGCTGCAGCTCTGGTGGGACCTGTTCGTTGGCCAGGTCCACGCACAACTGGACTCCTCCATGGTAAGTGTACCGCGCCACAATGAACGCTTGTCCGAATTTCTCTTGATGCTATCTGGCACTGGTGCGCCACGTACTCGATAAAATAGTGAAATACTCAATACTGTATCTCAAGCCGTCCATTTATCGTGTCATTCTGTTTATTACGGTTGAGACGTAAATGTATATTTTCCGTAAAGACTCATAAAAAATGGCGGACATGTTTTTATTAATATTTATTGATGCGCTCTTGTTTCTTCATCTGATACAAAATTTATCTGATTGTAATAGTCAGACTAAAATGGTCTAAAAAAATGTGTATGAAGATAATATAGCTTAAAATATATATCAGGCGCGTAGTACCCCAACGAACTATGCTGCCACCGCAATCGAGATTCGATACTCTCGTGTGATATCGAATGTCCTGAACATGCAACCGCATTGATCTCTGTAGTCTGTGGTCAGCCGGTTACCACTTCCTAAGCCAGTTTCGCATCAAACTCGATCGCATTATCTGTTCAAATCTGACCGACTCAACATGTCCTCCAAGCATACGCAACAGGGATCAAGAGTTACGGAGGTGAGATTTAAAATCGTGCATCGAAGAATAAGTTAATGCGACTAGAAATTTAAATTGTTTATAGTGCTAATCTTTGCACTTAAGATTGAACATTAAAATATGTAGAAAAAGTGCGAAAAGATTGTCGCCGCTGTGGGAATCGAACCCACGTCTTCGGCATTCGCGGCCTGACGCTCTAGCCACTGAGCTAAACGGCTGATTACCACACCGACGAAAATCTTAACGCATTCTTCCACATTGTTTTCTTAGCATTTGAAGCAATGCTTGGCGCCATCTATTGTTATATCCTTTCCAGCATACAATCAATTTCGAATATCGTTTTACAACTATTTGATTCTACATATTTTAATGTTCAATCTTAAGTGCAAAGATTAGCACTATAAACAATTTAAATTTCTAAAAAAAAAGCAATAGCGACATCTCTCGTTCGAATTATCGTTGTAAAACGATATTCGAAATTATTTGTATGCTGGAAAGGATATAACAATAGATGGCGCCAAGCATTGCTTCAAATGCTAAGAAAACAATGTGGAAGAATGCGTTAAGATTTTCGTCAGTGTGGTAATCAGCCGTTTAGCTCAGTGGCTAGAGCGTCAGGCCGCGAATGCCGAAGACGTGGGTTCGATTCCCACAGCGGCGACAATCTTTTCGCACTTTTTCTACATATTTTAATGCGACTATCTTTTGTCTTGTTAGAGTTCAGTAAATTGTGATTTTTCCGTTTGAAGTTATCGCTGTTGTACATAATTCGAGAATTAGTTTACACGCTTGGCTTGTGCACTGTTCTGATGTAATCGCACCACCTTGTAATTAAAACTCAACGATGCTAGTACATTAATAATCCAAAACATTTCTCCAAAATACTAACATTCTCTAACCGTCCGAGATTCGTTCGCTTATTGCACGGGAACATTTTTGATTTGTATGTAGTATTGGGGATGGAGTAGATGGTGTTGGTATTTTGGGTGAAAGATCAAAGCGTCTGCTATATAAACATACATGTCATTGTGAAAGAACATTCCTGTTTAATTTTTGTGATTATATAGCTCTTTCATTGTCCTGTATATAGCGATATTGCCTGTATGTTTAACTGCTGACGATTTGTTTACCTCTTCCAATAATTACTAATAACTTGAATAAGGCTTTCTGCGCTCTTTGCAAACGAAAGTATTTGCTCGAAAGCTTTGTTCAAGTGAATATGCATGCTTGCCCACTGAGCCTTATAACTCCGACCTGTAGGTTGAGGTTGAAGACGCCACCACGACGTTTGAGCCCCCACAAGAGTCGTACTACCCCTCTGAGTCCAGAACGGACTATAACTACTATAAGCCGGATCTCGACCACTATAAACCGGTCCTAGACCCGGATTCAGAATTCCACTGGCACCGTCCGGATACTCAAATATCGCACGCGGAGAAAACTGCACCCGAAATAAACTTAGGCCAGTTTCACGATCCCTGGGATATATACAAGGGCCACATTCCCCCAATGGCTGACGAGTCGAAAAGCACCGGTTCGCACACGCATACCGCTGAGGAACAGCAAGAGATCAGGCGGCATGTCTGGGAAGTGCCGCAACATTTCCAACATATTGAATCACAAGACAACACGAACCGTTTTGAAATACAACACGTAGATACACATCACGATAGAGAAAAACGCTTCGAACACCACACGCATTCCTGGACGCAGCCAGATGCGACACAATTTCATCAGAGCGACCACTATAATCTAAACCAGGAGAATCATGAAATATCTTACAGAGAGCATTACGATTATAATAAGGAAACACAATCAACGTACAGTCTCAATGAACATAGTTTTACCCACTCGATCGACCAAAGAACTCAAAGCTCATCGACAAACCATCAAGAATACGATAATATTTCTCAACATTCCCACGGATCCCATTCACAATACATTCACCGCAAATCTCCACAATTTCACGAACGCTACTCGCCACCTTTAGACTGCCAGCAAGATAGTACACAGTCTAAAGTTTTTCACGAAACGTCAAATCTTAACGAAGTGCACCACAACAACCACTCAAATGACTACAACCCGCCATATTCCACACCGGAGGCTCATGGAACACTAAACTCTCACTCGCAAAGCAATCACGACCCATTCACAACTTACACCAAGAAGGACGTAGAGCTGTTTACGCATTCCTCAAGGAACCGAGTGGAGTACGTGTATTGCGTGCACTTGGACCACGAGAGGGGGCGGTACCGTGAAAAGAGGAACCTGAACGCTTTGCTGCCAACCGAGGGAAAGACCAATGGCCTCGATGAGTGGGAGATGAACGGACACGACGATTTCGTGATCCCGCGCCATCCGTACGATGGGTTCTACCTGAGGCACAGGATGACCATAGACGCCCGCGGCCGCAAGATTTGCACGCACGAGATCCCACCGACGCCGTCGCCTTCCGTTTCGCCACCGGAGAGTCCGATCTTCTTCGACGCCGTTTCGCCGGAGGACGCGTGCTCGGAGCACGACCATTCCAGTCACGTAAGTTCCACAGTTGCATCCGCTCACCGGATCGGTTCGTATGGAATTCCAGTAAGTGTTGTTTCATTTATGTTATGTTCCGTTAACGTATGTGTACCGTTTTGTTGTGAGTGTTGTGAGTTCCTTACTTGTTGATGATAGCGCCATATTCCTGTTTCATAACACGCATGCTATGTATGTTGATCCCATTTTGCACGTTATTGTCGTTTAACACTTAACGATTATTATCTTTTAAATATTTTCTAATTATAAAATTTATTACTTGGCAACATGTTGTTCATCATAATAAAACAAAACATTAGTGTATTTCACATTGAAACTGAAATATTCATGCGCGCATTGTATATTATTACAGACTGGTGTTGCGGGTAATTTAGCTCGGGTGACGCCTGACGCGACCGGAGCTCAATCTGAGGCTATCGATGAGCTTACTCGTCGACAAGGCTGGGAGGCGGGCAACATTGATTACATGGGTGCTGATTCCTTCGCCAATATTTGGGCTAAGATCTCACAAACGCTCAGTCAACCACCAGCCTCGCCACAGAACCCGCCTACTCCGCCGCCTGAAGAATCTGAGCCTGCTCAACAGTTAGAAGAACCCCAAACGACGGCTGTTGAGGCTGAACAGTCTGCAGTTGCTCCAATAAGCAAGGAGGAAGCTCTTGCCGAAACCGCTACACCAACCGAACTACTTTTAGAAGAAACCTCCGTCAAATCTGATGTTCCGTCGGAAAGTGCGCCGGCTGTAGAAGTTGCTTCGCCAATAGAAACTATTCCAGCAGTAGTTGCACCCAACTCTCAAGTCGCACCAGTGGAATCGACTACTGAAGCTCCGAAAGAGGCAATTCCAATTGAAACTTCGATTTCTCCGCCAGTTTCTTCTGAAGAAGCCTCAGTGCCCGTGGAGACTGCAGACATTCCAACTGAATCATCTGTACCTGTTGAAATACCAGTTCCAGTAGTTGAAGCTGTGCTAGCAGAAGCTACTGAACCGACTATTGCCGCTGCTCCCATAGAGTCGGCAGAAATACCAGCACCTGTTTTAGAAGCTTCCGCTGCCGTCGAAAGTACTAAAGTAGTTGGGTCCGCTTCGGTGACTCCGGTGGATGGAAAAACTGAGGGCGTAACAAAACCAGCAGATACAGAAGCAACTAAAGAAGAGCCTCCTAAACCAGAGATTGTTGCAGCCGTTGAGTCGCCACCTGGCGATGCAGTACAAGTGTCCGCGAAATCCGAGGAGAAACCGGCAAAACCGGAAGAAGTTCCCGTGGCAACTGCCACAGACAGCCCTCCTTTAGCCAATACTCCCTCCACCGAAGAGATCCCCTCAGAGCCGGCTGCTAAATGTAAGTAAACCTTTATTGACTACACCCAGCCCGCCGACTTTGGAACGGCTTTGCATTCAGTTTCTCACCGAGTTTAATTTGCAGTTTTCTTTTTTTTGTCAGATTTCTACTAATTTTATCCGTTGTCGTCGGTCTCTACAAGGAAATGATTGAGCCAATTCGCAACTGGCTCCAGTCGCAATCTTGTGGTGCTCGATGCGTACACTAGTTTTTCTTTTATTTGTGCCGTTTTGTGCTGTTTGGTTTTTATGTTTATTTACTGAGCATACCTTTCAAAATTCGTTGTTATTTCACCCAGCTACCGAGGAGGCAGCGCAAGAGACGCGGCTTTGATAGAACAGGTAATAACAATATTTCACTTGGACCCAACATCAAGCTCTTGTATACTTCGGTGAGCGATAAATTTTAGTGGGCTTATATATAACAGCATTAATGGCGTTCGAAGTAAAAGATTTTTTCGCTACGAAATAATTTCGAATAAAAATAATACATGTCGTCATTTAACTATACTAAAATATCCAATGCCCTTGATATAAGATTTATATCGCTTCAGAGAATTTTGGGTTGCGTCCAAGTGGATGTAATATGTAGGAACATTTGATCAACTACGGCAAACGGTAATACTATTTCTGGGAAGTTTCAAGAACTTTTTCTTCCCCGCACTTATTATTAATCTCAAAGCAATGATCTATTTTAGCCATATTATACAGTATACGAAGTATAAGATGGAGCAAATATGCATTCATTCACTAAGAGTTTCTTACAGTTTTACCATTGTTGAGTAAAACTGTGACAACCTTTTATTTTAATTTTTTCTGCTTCACATGATTATCCACACATTGCAAGGAACATTATAAAACGCTTGTCCTCCACGGTACATTCTCACTTTCGCACTGATCTGCACGTCAATTGAATACCGAGTAAATCTTTAGTTATCCGTTATATTTTTAAATCAAGCAGTCGTAGGCTCAGTACGCTGCACGATGGCTGATGCGTTAATAATCCTTGTAATGTCATCGTGCTTCGATCTCCGCTAACCGACCACGGTTCTAACTTTCCGCTTGCATCGTTTCGTATTAACCATGCAGCTCTTTTCTCCCTCGACTTTGTTCCAGGCGCTAACCGAGCTTGCTCTCTAATGTGACCGCGATACTAACGCCAAGTCTAATCGAAACGAGGGAAGTAAGGCGGGAATAAATTGGTTGTGTAGCGGAGGAGCGGCGCAGGCCCGTGGGGAAGCTGCAGCTCAGCCCCCCGCTGGCCGCCGACCCACTCCCCACCCCCGATAGCGAGCTAGAGGACGCGGCCAGCTTAGCGCAGTCGATTATAGCGAGCGAGCTGCGCACGCCGACGGTCACATCGCCAACGCCCCCCCACCCCGCCTCGCCGGCGCAGCCCCAGCAAGAGAAGCGGCTCTCGGTCGAACCGCCGCAGCTGCCGACGCCACCCGTCTCCCTCACTCAGATCGGGGTGAAACCGTCCAAAGGGAAGGCGACCATCGCCGCCCAGATAGAGTCCTCCGTGACGGAGAAGCCGGAGCCCGCGCCGCCCGCCGAGCCGAAGACGGACGCGCCCAAGAAGAGAGTGGTGAAAAAGGTGGTCAAGAAGGAGGCGGCGAGCGGCGAGGCGCCCGTGCCACCGCCACGCAAGAAGGAAAAGAAGCCCAAAGAGAAGTGAGCGGAAGCGCCACCCACCCCCAAGTTCCTCAGTGCCATAACTAATGTAACCTCTCCTTAGCGACTATGTTTAATCACTCGAATATGCTTTTGTGCGCCGTAACGATTACGTTCTAGTGTTTAATTTGTATCATTTACCGTAACGCGTCCATTATTGTATTTTTATTGTACGATTATGTGTTTTTATTTATTCTATCGTAATGCTATTGTTTATAATTTTTATCGAATTGAGTCACTGCGAGATGATCGATTTTAAATTTTATTTTAAAATTTGAAATTATCTATCATGGGACGATATATTAATTATTAATTGAAAGTTTTTTTTTTATGAAATTTTGTATTAAAATATTGTAAATTCATTGTGTACCATTATTTATCGTCATTTAATTTAATGCAATAAATAACAATTTTCTTCCAAATTTAATTTGGGCCAAACTACTGTTGGATAAGGATTACCTATCTGAAAAACTTCTTCAGGAGTGGATTTATTGTTTCAATTTAGAGAGGGGCAAAGATGAAGATATCTTAAAGAGGAACGTTGGCAAATTATAAAATATTAAAAAAGTATAATTTTATACATAATGATCGAAAACTAATAAAGGTAAAATTTGTCGTTGCTTTTGTTACGTTTTCAATATTGTATAAATTAATTTAATGATCCTTTGAATGGCTTAATTATTAAATAATATGTAATAAATTTAAATAAAAATATAGCGTGGCCTGCAAATTTATTGCATTTTCATCATCATTTCTGAGTCCACTGCTGAACATAGAGGCCTTAGACACAGACTTCTATCATAGGGGTTTTTTTTTCTTGGGGGACTGCTTCAAGATAAATGGACGTATTAAAAAAATCGCCCAAGTGCGATTCGGACTCGCGTACGAAGGTTTCCGTACCATTATTTATAAAACCGGCCAAGTGCGAGACGGTTTTACGCACGAAGGGTTCCGTACCATTATCTATAGAAAAGGCAAAAAAATCTTGCCTGTTTTATAGAAGCTCCACTTAAATAACTTTTTATTCTGTTTTTTAAGTATGCGGGAGCAGAAATACATTATCTGTGAAGTCAAGAGTTTATCTAAATGCTCATACTAGTTTATAATAAGGTAAACTACCAAAGTTTAAATATATACCTTGAACCAACAAATTGTACTAAATCACGTAAGCGGGTCATCGTGACCTTAGAGGCGAGTGAAACTTGCAACAATTGAATTATATTTGCATGATTTTAAATGATTTGATTGTTAAAAAAATCGTAATGACGTAAATTAAGAAAATATGGCAGGTAAACCTTTTTTCATGAGGTCTATTACCTTACTCTGCGATTGATTTTTTGCTTTCAGTCAGTATACAAAGCTTAATCGAACCCAGAACTCGTGAGATAGTCAGATTTCACGAGCTTGATACGGCTATGTATTGTATGGTATGTATTGTCAGAAAATTAAATGGTCACCCATTTTCCAAAGCATTGTATAATCAGTATTACTGTGTTCCTTGTAAATATTTGCATTTGTATTGAGATATTTTTTTATAGATTTCCTATAGAAAATCAACCATAAAACAATGATTGGATAGAGATTATAAAAAACTGCAGAAATGAGAACCTTGGATTCCATTCAGAACAAGCGTAATATTAAGTAGTATAAATGTAGATGGAAACGATTTGGGTGCCACGAAAAATTAACAGTATTATCTAACTTAACAACAAAAGACAACAGTCGTACATGTTAACTATTTTTTTTAATTTAATTTTTTTTATACATAAACTGTAAACTATCATTACAGGCGATACCTTATGCGATATTGAAGTTCGAATACAGTTTAAGATAAACATATAACTAAAACTAAACACTGAGAACATGGAACGTAGTGAGTGTGAAATCAACGAGCGAGCCAGTGAACAACGTAATTGATTAGCTGCTGTACTTAGAGTACAAAGCGCGCGAGTCAGTGGTGCAATACATAATAAATTAGTCCGTGACCTAGGTAATAGCATCAGCCGCCGCCTCCTCCTCCTCAAAAATCCTTCTGGTACGCATAAGATAACTATGCATCTGCATCTGCTGCAATACAATCGGATGATTTAATTTACCACCCAATACCTTAAAAAGCTAAAATATTAGAATAAAACGTTTTAAACGACAATTGTTTTTTTTTTTTCAAGTTTAGAAATTTAGTAGTAGGTAATCAGTCTGATTAACTGTATTTTAGAAAAATAGTTTCGCCATTATATTTGAATGAAATACTGTACAATAAACGGAAGGTTTTAACCAATTACAATATGAATAAATATTTTAACCAACGTGATGGATTTCACTGTTTTTTTTTGCAGTAGGTAGTGCGTATTTTTTTAACTCTATTTATTTTACAACAAAATAATCGAATTACCTACCTACTGAAGGAGCTTTTTTCTTGTTAGTCAAATAAATTAAATAGGTACTTATTTCCAAATTTTTACTTTATTTTTGTCAATAAAATTATGTGAACAGTTTTGTTAAAATTAATAAACTGGAAAAATATTTTTAAAAAAATTGGCAAATTTTCATTTATCCAATATATTTTAAAACATTCAGCTTCACATTCGATATGCTTGACGTAAAGTAGTGTTATGTATTGTACTTGTCCATGATGGTATATTAACAAAAAGTCCTCCCCGGCGGGGAATCGAACCCCGGTCTCCCGCGTGACAGGCGGGGATACTTACCACTATACTACCGAGGATTTGCAATTACATAGAAAAATGTCATATATATAAATATTCATACTTGAAAAGTTATACGTAAGTTTTATGTCATCAAAAATAACATATATCATTAAACTGAATTACACACTTTTCGTTGAATTAGATAAGATGCCATAAAATATGATAACATTTAGTAAAATACTAACGTTCTTATTTTAATCAATCTAAAAAGTTCAAATGGGATACAAAAGGTGGCGCTCTTTTAAAATCATGTTAGGAGATAATTATTATAGTCAAAGCCAGTAAAACTTAAATGAAGCAAAAATAAGCTCTTGCATATGAATATGTAATAGCTTCACTCGACTTTTGATTTGTGCCTTGTTCTTTGAAATTAAAATACTAATAAAATGTAAGAAAAATGCCATCTAGTGTAGAAGACTAATAACTTTTCGACAAAAGCGCGTTGTACAGATGGGAAATGTTCAAAGATGTAGCCGTTCGGGGCCTTATGATTGCAGTGATGGCGGACTGCAAAACCATCCATCCAGTAACCAGTTAGTTAAAATCTATTTGACGGGGTGGTTGTGTTGACAATTTATTTAGAAAAACATTTCAATGATTATTGTTTTTTTTCGTGTTTCACTAAAATTTGTTTAGCTATATACTTCTTCATGAATAAGGATAAAGGGCAAAACGTTTAAACACCTTAGTTCTTGTATTATTTCTAGTTTCTCGTGAATTTATACGTTTTATTCGAGTGTGAAATCTTGTATCGTTGAGAACTTTACGTTGATTTCGATGGACGGTGGTTAAAATGTGAAGATATTGTGAAATTTGTGAACTCTTTATATTCTAATGAAGAAAACCTTGTTTGTTTAAAAAGGATTTTTAGTTTAGTGACACTATGAAGTGGTTTATCTTATTACTGCTGTTACCGGCTAGTCTGGCACATCTCAATGTTTACTTAAGCAGCGCTGAAGTATGGAGACTGCTCGGTAAGTATTATGCAAAATACTGAAAGATATAATCCTGACTCATCATCATAATTACAAGCAATTATTATCCATACTTAAAACCGTCAGCTCAGTAAACACTTGACTTTTTAAAGATGGATTCGGTATTGAGATAACATTTATTGTCATAACTGTTGTTATCCTGCGTGATTTATTTTATTTATATTTAACAATAAAAAAAAATCTATACTAAACCAAAAATTCTCTTACTTCTTACCGACTAAAAACTAACAATTATTAAAGACTATATTTAAAGTTTGAGTAGTAAAAATAATAATTTATTTATTTAATAGTAAGTACAACAAAAACATAAAATAAGGAATTGAGGAATGCACAACAGTGTTACCGTATTAAACCACTTGTAAACAGTAAAATAAACTAGGTACATTTCTACTGGTAAAACTAATGATAAAAACAATACACTACAACCAAACAAACTATCGCATAAATACATTATTTATCACATTTTTATCTAGTAAATTTTATGTAGGTGTACCGAAATAAAATTTAGTAGTAGGTATGTATAACATGTATGGATAAGTATTAATTTATTCAAAACATAAAAAAATGTTGATCACATTAATTTTAGTTAGTATGCACCATGCATTTTGCTAACTATAATGGAAGCACTCAAAGCAGATATCTATGCATTGCAATTCGTCGTAAGCAATAAACAGCAAGATATCATAATTGACTGTTATCTACCTGTAAAAAGCTGATAACGAGATGATAATGAATGGCATGCCAATAATTGTTGTCGAGGGTACATCGCTGTTTATAATTGTTATTTCATTTACTAATGATGTCACATACTTCATTTATATAAACATGGAGGAATGGAGTATCCTATATTTAACATACGCAAATTGTATTCAGAATTAAATACACCTGAAACAATTAAAATTCGAGGGGGGATCAAACTCAATTTCGAAGAACATAGGACAACTCCGAAGTCTGCATCCGTCTATGGATGATAAACATATATTCATTTAAGATGTGGTACCTTAATAAACGGGATTATAAGTTGTTAAGTATGAAGGTTTAAAATAATATATCGCCATTATGATGCCAGACAAGACTTTCAATATACGGTCGCCAATTGTGTTAGTACAGATATTACGAGAGCCAATTAAAACAAATGTCTAATAAAAAGCTGTGAAGATAATCAATTGATTACTCGAGGTTTTGTCTGGATTATAATGTGAGTAGGATGTATACTAATAATACTTTACTTACCTAGATTACTTACTAACCTAGATTTAAGTCACAATGTTATTTACTAATACTAACAAACTATGGACAATGTACTTAATTTTGTGTATTGTCTGAAATATAGATTATTATTATTATTATTATATAATATTCAATCACAATGGCACATCTTTTTGATGTCATATACATATATATATATTGAGATAAGCTATTCTATGTAATATACTGTATATATATGTCGATCATACAAACTACAACCCCTGTGTAACTCTTACGGACAACGTTTGAGGGTTCATCATGTAATCATAAATCGTTTAATCAAGATATCAGTAATAAAATTCAATTTGTCCCAACAAACTTTTAACACTTTCAAAGTTTACAAAATAATATAGCGTTTTATTATTGTCATAAAACTCTAAATAATTAACGGTTATGAAACGAGAGTAAAATTTTAGCCTTGGCGATATTAAATGAAATTAACTACCTAAGTGGTGGTTGGTCTTTTAATGCGAATAGTAAACTCGTTGACAATCTTGCTACACTTCACCAATTTACTTCATACTTCGGATATGTAAAGCCTTTTATATTGATTCGCAATTTATATAAATAAAACCGAAAATTGTAACACAATACAACAATAGTTAATTGGGCAAATAATATTTTCCTATTAAAACGCAAAAAAAGAAAAAAATACGTAATCCTTGAAATATAACGTTAATGAGTTTGACACTTAAATTTCATTAACCCTTTCGTTTTATTGTTATAAACAAAAGATAAGATTTTTTATATGTATACATATAATTTAATATGTATATAATTTTTATATTGTATCTACATTTAACAGAACTAAACTTTGATTCTGTTCTGGAATCTGTTGATTAATAGCAATAAAATATTATATAAAGCGTATTAATCCACACTATTGTAAAGTTGTAGGCGTAACATTCAGACAGATATTAAAAAAGTATATAAATAGCCTATGTCGTAGTATTATTTGCGTGAAAGAGTAACAAACATCCATCCATACATACAAACTTTCGCCTCTATAATACTAGTTAGGATGTTGTCTTGATTTTTTTTTAATTATTTACCAGGAACGAATAGATAATCTTATTACTGGCCGGATTTAATACCGCAGCGCTTTAAATCCCCAAAGAAAAAAGCTTAAGTATCCATAAAGGTTTAGAGCTGAAGCGACCTTCCCGAAATTGCACCCCGTCGTGAGCTTTGTTATCATCACCGTGAATCGGGCACCTTTTGGATTTTATGCCAACAACAATAAATAAATCTGGTGGCGCGATTACGAAAATGCCAAAAGCGATAATGTTGAAATGTCACGTAGCTATCAATCTTTATTGTTGTAGTCTCGATTCGTCGAAAATTTAATGCCACTGTTTTGGGAAATTATTATTTTATCGAGTATTCATTCATTAGCTTGCTGATACTCGCGACTTTGTCTGCGTTGCTCATTATATTAAAAACTACACCGCTTGCCTCACTTCTCCGCTGCAAGAAAACACACGTCACTGAACTTTTAGTGCTTATAAAAATCATTATTTTTTCTTAAAACCAATCACTTTTCATTAAATAAAGATATCAAAATATTTTTTTTAGATAAGGACATAAAAGCAAGAAGAATTTATTAAAATCCAATAGATTTACCGTAATGATAAATAGAATAATTTTTACATAGCAATTTTTGGGTCCAATTCAAGGGACGATGTGTTGTTACTACTTCCTCGTTATTAACATCATGACTTGATCGTCGTTGCAATATAATCATATCCATTAAAGTTTGATTTTGGCGGATATGTCTAATGAATATGAAAAAATAAATAACTTGTCAAATTTAAGGTTGTGTAGACGATGAATGCGACAGAGCTCAATTCCCTTTCATCCTGAGAACGGTCTGAAGTTAAGTTAAAGTGACAGATTCGAAATGCGGCTGCGTGAGCGCAGGTAATGGCTTTGGAGAGGTAACGCGTCTGCACAATAAAAAAAACTTTTACACCGTCGTATTGTACGAACCTGCGGGCACCAATCCATCTTTGTCAGGACTCAGCCATCTGTCCCCCCGTCTCTTGTTAAGAAATTAGAATTAGAATGGTTAAACAATGCGACTCCGCCGGACTCTTTGTCCGCCTCCGACTTTCTAGTTCCTTTATGCGTTAAGATTTTTGTACAGTACATACATCTCATTGCGAACGCTAAATGTACGCTAAATGCTCATGATAATTTAGTATATTTACGCGAATAGTGAGCGAATAAAGATTTAAGCCGTTTTATGGATTAATATGGATCTTTAATTTAGTCTAGAGGTACTTGTAACATTATAAAAAAAAGCCGACAAGAGTCCGACCGTACTTAGGCCTGAAAGACATAGATATTTATGTAGTTGTGAAAGCTAATAGAAAACTAAACGTTCACCATTCGTAAAATCTAATCGATATATTATAATCTAATAGTTTATTGCAGTTTGAACCAATTTATACTAAACTATTAATTTATAAAGATAAACAGCATAAACTCTAAGCGTTGTTATTAATTATTTATAAAATGCTTAATCGCATAAATTATTGGGAGGACTGCCGTTATCTATCATTAAAACAATGATCACTGAGTGCATCCACTTGAGACGACTGTTGCATTTTGAACGAGAATAATATATCGCTATTAAATTAGAATATTTTGTTAACGTGTTGCATCTAGTGTTGCAATATTCAATTTCAATCGACGCATTAATGGTTTTTGAACCGTTTGTTTTTCGAAAACTGTTCAAACTTCAAATTCGTATTGAACACTAAACATTGTGAAGTATTGCATTGGTACGGTTTACTTGAAAGCCCTGTGTGCGATGTCGCCTCGCTCAGCGGGCGCGACCAATTTATTTCAGATGACATTTATGTAGATTCTATGGAGGCAGAGCGATAAACTCGACGATGGAAACGCGAGAGCCGCCGGAGCGTCGTTTCTTCGGCGGTCGCGCCGAAGTATGATCGCGAACACTCGAAGATTTTTATGTTCATGTTCTTACGAGTCCGGTTTGTTAATATCGAACACGTACGTCCCTTTAGCCTATAAGGTGTTGAATATTCGATTTCGAACACTGATAACTCCTACCTGGTATATAATTTTGTCTTTTTATGTATTTCACATTTGCATTCCTTTAAGGCCAAACGATAAATTCTCAAATGATATCGAAGAATTGATATATTTATATTTAATTTTTATATTTATTCTTACTACCCACGTTATGTCCGAGGTTCAAGTGTTGTTTTTTGTTATGTGAGTAGTGCTTTTATGAATTGTGAAAACGACAAAGAATACTTTTTTTACTTTTACGATTCTAAATTCTATACTTCACTAGCTGACCCGGCAAACGTTGTTTTGCCATATAAATTATTTGTAGGGTAGAAAAAATGTTTGGGGTGGACCACCCATTTAGAGGGATGAAAAATAGATGTTGTCCGATTCTCCACCCTGGTCGATATGCACACAAAATTTCACGAAAATCGGTCGAGCCGTCTCGGAGGAGTTCAATTACAAACACCGTGACAGGAGAATTAAGTTAATTACATAGTAATAAGAAATGGTGCATTGAAGTTCCAGCCAGTATAGATTTTTCATTTCGTGATTCTTCCAGTTATCATTTTAAGCCGCGGATGATAAGCTTAGGGCGGCTTCTTAGCGCCAGCGTGCTGCTCGACCAGACGACGTGGTTTATAGCCGGCTGCTATCGCCCATCAGAATTCTTTACGACCAGTCCGCACAAGGTACGGGCCTGTGAGCTGTGGCCTGAAATCTTTTCATATATATAGTTTTGATTTTATTCACTTGCACTTTAAGGTGACAAACCCGTAGACAGAAGTTTAACAAGTTATCTTTGTAAAATGATAAAAATAAGAATCTCTATTCTGATAGCTTGAGTTCCGATCAACCCGCCCCAGCTAGACGACTAGCAACCCGCCCCGGCTTGGCACGGGTGCAATGTATTATACATATAAACCTTCGTATTTAAGATCTAAGCGTACATAGGTACAGACAGGCAGCGGGACGACTTTGTTTTATACTATGTAGTGAAGCTTTAACATGAACGAACATTTTTTTACTCAACATGATCAAATTAAACGTGTATAATGACTATATTATATATATATAGACAAAGTATTATAGTATAACAGTATATTATACAAAGTATTGTCTCTTTAAATGATTTCACGCAAAAACGCTGACCGCTTATTGCTTAGACCGGCCTTAAATGTGACTACCTTAAGGAGCATTGTTCCACGAACAGCCCTCATGACGGGAGTGGGCGACCTAATGTTATTTCCCAGATACGGCTGCACTTTCTTGAGCCACGACTACTCTGGAGTCTGGCCACGTGATCGCAACTTCATTTCACGATATTGTAACATCATTTTTGTAAGGGATCGTTGCGTGAAATACTTCATTACTGGCATAATAGAATTATAATAGAATATTTGAAAAAAGAAATTATTAACCAGCTGGTTTTTCTAAACTATGATCTTACATAATAAACTAGAATAACTACGAGCTGCAGTCGAGCTGAAACCGAATTATGATTTGGCAGTTAGTTTAATTTATATAAAGAAGAACAGGTAGAGATTTTTTTATACTTTTATCTACTTGAATTTTTATCTATTTATTTTTCTAAATAAGTTTATTGAATTTTGTAAATTTTTTACGCAAGTTTCTACGGCACACTAGTTATTTAAAACCCCCCATTGTGTAAGGGGATCTTTTACCCGCCGATTGGATTTCCTGGCTAGTACTGCGGTTGGTAAAAAATAAAAAAAAACGTTACTAAACGCAACGCGATACCTCATCCTCGTATAGGATTTCGTCTAGACACGATAACCTCTTCACACGTTTACCGCATATTTACCGTTAACAAAGGCGGTGTCGGTTCGCTGGTTATTTTTAATTGAACGGCCAAGCCGGAACACCGGTCTTCTGATCCTTGCACAATTTGTTTACTTGCTGCCTTTTCCACCTGGCAATAAATCGTGATATCCTTGGTTAATTCCGGTAAAAGCACTGAATTGCCGATGGCGTTACTCAATAATATTTGTGGAAAAAAATGGACATAAGGTTTTTCGCCGCTGCGGCAATCGAACCCACGTATTTCGGATTTGCGCCTTTAATCACTAAGTAAAGCAGATGACTGCCAAACTGACGAAAATCTCTACCTATTTTATGGATTGTTCCTTCGCATTAACTGCCGCTTCGATCTAAAGTACCATATCTTTTTATATATAATTCTTCTGTACGTGGGTATGTCACTGAATTCCTCCTAAACGGCTGGACCAATTTTAGGTAGATTCGAGAATGGTTTAGATTCACAATTCGGTCAACTACATTTTTTTTTATTTCTAAGTTGTCGAATTTAAGTCGTGTGTACAGGACGTGATGTTATATAAAAAATGATAAATATTTAAAATCACGCGTAGGTAATTAATTACATTCATTTGAACTTCTCTCAAAAAGTGCGCGATTTATACCCAACTCATATATTTTACGCGCGATCATTCATAACTAACACGCACACAAGTTCGTGCACAGTAAAATTTAGGTATTTATGAATGACTACCGCATTGTGAATGGCATTTTTTTTGGAAAAAAAAACTTTGTTTTTCATTTCAATAAACGATTATAGTACCGAGTCTGAACCTCCTGTGTAAATTTGGGCACTACTCAAAAAATCTCCCTGTATAAGTATCAATATGTATAAATCCTGCTGCCAATTTGTTTTCCTTTAACATTTTGAGCTGGTCTGACTCTGGCTTCTTTCATACCATAATGTAAGCAAAGCTAATGCTTGATTTGTAAATATTATGTTTTTGTTTATTGTTTTGAAATAATACGCAATTTGATTCGAACATTGAAGATAAAACTAAACTCTTTTTCACGCTTAAATTAAAGCTCATAAAATTTCGACAATTACCAATGCACTTACGGATCACAATCGCATAAGTCTGTTACTATTATTATTTAATACGACACCACATAGACGTTACCTGCGCGGCGTTTCCGGTGTTTAAATATGGCCGTTATCTATAGGACGATCTCGGCCTATGCCAACACCTTCACCACGTACAACTCTGACGTGTAAAATGTTATATTTCGAAGATTATCGCTTGCTGGAAGTCTAACGTTTACAAATGGGCTCCTCGAAAGTGCCTCCAATAGAATGAGTATAGCCATTGTTATTTTAATAAACACCATTAATAAAGCATTCAGACAGACGCTTGGATCACGTCCCCTCCAAACAGGGACGTCGTTTAGGGAATTAACAGTGAAATATTTCAATAAGCGACCGTCGGGCGCGCTGTCTAAATAAGCGCACCACATTCCCGAAAGTATTCTCTATGTCAATATTGTTGACGTCTGGATGACGTGAGATGCGCCTAAATAAATTCAATTTCACGGCCGCTGCACCGTCGCGAGAGTTTTTTAATCCTCTGTATAAATAAAGGTCATTCGGCCAGGTGCGCTCTCGAATGAATCGAGTCCGCTTAGTGTTGTGAATAAAATGGTTTTCACTCTTAATGCTAACTCTCTGATGTTGTTTCAATATAGTAACTCACAGGTTGGTCTAAACAAAGAGGTCTATGCGTTCGGCAATTGCACCGCGGAAGTTGCGAGTGAACGCGAAAACCCGTTCCGTTAATTCGTTTCGCGTAAATATTGTGAACGAGTGTTTTCAGTTAAAGCGGCTTGGCTATTGCCGTCCGTACGTGGGTAATATGTGAACACGGAACGTCGGAAATAGAATTAGGCGTGCGTTGCACCGGTGCAGGCGAAGTTGCTTTTATTGCTCGCGAGTTACATGAATATGCGACTCGTTATATTCAATTGGGTGCGTTTCAGCACGGCTATGAACTCGCGTTGTCTCGCCTCATGCAATTTAAATCGCGCCCTCAACGGATAGCGGCGCTGACGGTGTGTATCGGACCTAATTTGCCTAACGATGAATTCTTCGACCACCCGGAGAATGGTCGATCGACACGTGGCTAATTACTAGGTAATTGCTTCGCGTCTTCGAATTAATTGGCTCGTAAGCTGTCGCCCTTTAAACAAAATGTCGATGACGAAGTTACAATGTAATAATGAATTAAATTCTACGGGTTATATATCTCTTGCTTAGACTCGTTTTTGAAGTGCCTGTCGTGAGATTTATTGTTTTCGATTGTAGAATTAAAACTTAAGTCTTAAGGGATAAAAGTCTCTTTTATTTCTATGCATATTACTCTAGGTCTTATTGCTTATTGCATCGGGATATTAATTTTTGCAAAGGGCAAGTGCAGGTAACCAATTAGAACATGGTTTGATCATTTTGATAAAAAAATCTTGTTTCGAACGGTGCTATGACTTGGGCGCAACTGTTTTTGGGTTCTATTCCCAGCCGGGACAAACATTTTTGTGACATGCAGATAACTGTTAACGGAACTGGGTGTCTCTCCGTGTTCCATTTTCGTAAAACTCAATAATTCACGAATTTCTTATTGTAGTTGTTCCCCACTGTAATGGAGTAGCGATCAAAAGAAATGAAAAAACCGGCCAAGTGCGAGTCGGTGTCGCGTACGAAGGGTTCCGTAACTATAAAAACAACAAAAATAAATAAATAAAAGAAATCATGTCTGTTGTATGAGACCCCCACTTAAATTTTTTTTATTCTGCTTGTTAGTATTTGTTGTTAAAGCGGCAGCAGAAATACATCATCTACTTATAAAAATTTCAACTGTCTAACTATCACGGTCCATGAGATACAGCCTGGTGACAGACGGACATACAGACAGACAGCGGAGTGTTAGTAATAAGGTCCCGTGCCCAAAGGGTAAAACTACGGAATCCTAAAAAGTCCGCCCTTCTTAATCGTAGAACGTAATTAATTCTTCGCGTGTATGTTTATGGGAACAGATGTATTGAACAAGGCCATAAAAGCTACATTTCCAAGTGCTAGTGCAGCAAGCTAAATGTTGTTTGCTTTGTAAGATATTGCAATCCCAAATGACCATTTTTTATTGGATCCAATTGTATATCAAATGGATTGGGTGTACGTCACACGTTCTATTGACAATTTAAAATACTCACCCGTTTCGCGAATAACGCATAATAAACAAGCCAACGCGACCGATTTGAATATTGATGTCGGAGAAATATCGAATCCAAATGCAAATAACCTCCGATATAATGCATAGTTAATTATATGAACATCTTGCAAAGCGTTTCTATCTTATTTTATTCATCATTTTATACTAACAGATTTGCGAAATAGTTGCTTGAAAAAATTACTTAATACTTTCTCTTATTAAAAAAGTCATAATACACATATTTATTTTGAACAATTATTTGTTGACATTTTAATGATTCCGATTTTATTGACTTGTTGACATCCAATTAAAATTACACGAATTGTTGATTTGTAACGAATGCAAGTAGCTAGCCTATGTGTAAATTTTTTTAAATTCAAATTGCAACGGTCATAAAATGGCTTCATAAAATTTATTCGTAGTTTATAATAAAATAATCAAATTAAGCTACATGAAGAGTATGTTTACATGGGATCATTAATATGGATGCTGTAATTAAAAATGACAATTCGAAATAAGTGAGACATTTAATTACTGCGTTGAATTCAAATGGTAATGCCTTTATAGGTTTTTTGACAAAGTTGTTGTAACGGAGGGAGGAAGGCATTGTATATAGAACTGTTTTCAGTTAATAAAAAAGTTAATACGTGTAGACATTTTTCGATAACGACATAGAAATTCAAGGCTCGTCTACGGTGCTCATTTGTCATTCACAAAGAGTTCTTTTTTTAAATTTTATACACACCTCTGTATATATGGCCTTACCAGCCAGCGCTTTTTAAATTGACATGTTTGTTGTCATTACGATGGACGATTTACACGAACGTGGGCCTCATGTAAAAAATGTGTGCGTGCTTCGAATGCTGGATTAAAACATTTTGAGATGCGGCTTATTTTAATTACCAAAAACAATTCTTGTCAAAGAAAGTTTCGATGACACCTAAGTTCGTGCATATCGTCATTTTTCTGGATGGAAAGTCATAGCGTATTTAATTGTTATAAAAATGCAATGGTAGAAATTTTTAAAGAAAAAAAAAAACCAAAACGTAGACAGATGATAATTAATTTTAGTATTCACATATTAGTTCCAATACTAGACTGACTAAATTGTTCATTTTGCGCACTGCTAAGCATGCCACACAAAACTTCCTTTGAACTTTCATGAAAGTAACGTAAAGTCTATGTCATAACTGTCGGATATTAAAATATTTAAAATAACGTTTCATTTCGACAAAGCGTCTGATATTTAAATATTTTTACGTTCGAATTTATACAGGGGCTTCAATCGAAAATGATAAAGAAGGATGGTTGCAGTGGAAATCGTAAAAGCTGATGCCGCGACGACAAGTTGGCGGTGGATCCAGGTCAAACGGCAGCTGAATAAATAGATCTTTATAAATAACAGTCCGATCGTATCATCACCCGCCAAATCGTCTGTATGCGCTTATTTTCTCCTAATGGCTAATTGTCTCATCTGAATCGTATCTATAGTCCTATTTTAGTTTACTTAGAATAATTCTATATAATTATATATTAAAATGATGTGTAGTACACATTGTGTGTAGTTATTGTTTTCAAAGATATGTTTTGGCTTGAAACAGATGTATAATGTGAAAATAACTGGTAGTTACAAGTAGCGGACGCACGAGTAAAAACTTTTTGCTAATTAATTAGGTACTACTTCGTTTTCTTGTTAAAGTCGGCTTTTGTAATACTTTGCTCTTGTGCATATGTCACGGAGGCCGCTCGTACCAATTAGCGCTTACTACGCGTTACGAATCTTAACGAGGATCTTCGGGTGAAATCAATTGCCTCGACCAGTCGCGTCCGAGACAATAAAACCTTGGAAAACAATAAAACTCACAAAAGCAGTCACTATTTGACTTCTCCTAATGTTTGTTTTTTTTCTTCAGTTCTGACATCGCCTGCTGTTTTTCGTTCTTTTATTGCGATTGGGATCGGACATCCTTTGCGGCGGAATACTAGTTAGTGTTGGTGGCTCAGGTAAAATTAGAGTTGGTGTTTTTATTCATAATAAAAGCACTAAGGTTTTTATAAGAGTGGTACTGTTATAATTTACTCATTTAAGAAATTAAAAAATAACGTTGAGTGTTTGTTACCCATATGACATGCGTATTTAATTATTTAATATGTTGGAAAGAAACAGGAACAAAAGATTTTAATTAAAAAAAAACAGAGCGTTGCAGATTTGGTCAATTAATGTCACGCAGATAATAAATTTGTTCTTTATTGGTTGTAAATTTATAGTAGACGTATTATAATCAGCGTGGCACATGTCTTAATAAAACATTATAACAAAGCAAAAAAATACAATCCTGAGCAGCTAATGAAGATAAGAAAAATAAACATTTGAAAGGCAGTAGGGTAAATAATTAATGTTATTTTTATTTGTCTTTTGAATATAAATTTTTCATAGGCGTTTTACACGACCGATACAGTGTGCATGCGGTCCTCTTAAAGCGAGCAGCGAGGCGACGTTCCAAAATGGCGTCCCTCGGCGAGATCGATAGATCGGTCCATTTGAAGTGTGTTCGCCGGTCGTGTCGGTGCTCGATCACACCTCGTTCGTCTCGTGGCAATTTGCCGGGAATGGATGGAGACGTCGCCGGGATAAAAAGCGTCGATCCATCAGAGGGGCGGTCGTGCCTGCGCGCGCGCATACGTCACGTCGCCCGCTTTTTGTTCGCTCCTCAAACAACACCAACGAACGATTATAACGCAAGCTCTTATGCCGCGCCTTTATCGTTATAATCCTCGCGCGGTTTCGACACCACGAAAAGTCCGTTAAGCACTCGTCTTAGCTGAGATTGCGTTATCAAGTTCGGAGCTTTTCGTCGGATGAACTTTTTCGGAACCGCGTCTCGTCTGAATATATACAAGTTCAGCTGATGTTTTAAAAGTTATTTATATATCTAACTTATACGATATTGATACAAATAAAAAATTTAATATTCCACATACGACCATTGACAAGTAAATGTATGCACCCTACACCATATAGGATATTGATACATACAAATAAAAAAATTCGGCGTACAATCAGTCGCAAGCAAATGTGTATAGTATATCTTCTGTGTTTATATAACTTTTATTCGATTACACTGTAATCGTATAAAAGTTATCCGCGAGTTCTCGAATTCCCATTCACTTAACGAACACCGTGGGTCCGTGGCCGTGTTTCAATAAACGTGGAATTTTCGATTAGGGGCGGGGTCTCGGATGGCGTGGCACGGAAATAATCACGGGCGAGCGAGGCACCGTCCTCCGGGGATTAGCGGCAGCTCCCGGCCGGAGACAATGCCGCCGGAAAATTCCCATCTCAAAGATGAGTCGCGGCAGCACGCATAGTGTCGCGCCTCTGTTAACGCTTTCAACTTGAATGCTTTCGTTGCGTTGTCACACCGAGCCGAGTGCCGAACCGATGTCTCCGATGAAGTTTTTGTGTGATGTTTTTTCTCATTTAGGCTGATGTTTATCGAGTTCGAGTATACAAAAATATTTTTTAAATTTTTTTTATGTGAAAACTTACCGAGTGAGCCGGTAGTTCACCAGACGAAACGCGAAAGTATTATACTTCCGCTTTACGCGGGTCTTCTATGAGGTCGTGGTGATTACCCGGACGAGCCTCCCCATTCGTGCAACAGCAGAGGCTTCTGCGTAGCCTATAGTACTCGTAATCAAATAACAACATGCAAAAAATGATCAGATATAACTAGTATGTGCACGTTTAAACTGATGTTACAAACTCGGCCGTTTGACGTTTGACGTGCTGCCTAACCCGCGAGACCCGGCGATACTCTGAACACGTTTTTAGCTGACGTACATCAATCACTCGGCAGGTTAACCATTTCGACCTTAGCGCGGGGGTACAATTCTCGTAAGCGAGGGCCAGCGGTCAGTCTGGCACCCTCGCAAGCTGGCGCTGACGTCACGGCGCGTCCGTCAACCGCCTCCGCTAAGTTTAGCCGACAGCCGGCCATGATCGATGGTGTGGGCGAGGAATGCGCCTCAACCGAAATAGCGCCCCGTTCGGACACGCGCTAATGTGCGCCCGCTAATGACTCGAGTTTAGTCCCCCGCACCTAGCGCGACGTTAAGTGCCGCCGCGTAGTCCCACGCTCGGTTGGTCCCTAGTCCCGCCGCGCGATATCGAAACGGCGGGGCGTTATTGGAACTCCTGTCGCGACGCCACGCGACCTGCGTTTTACTCCCCGCCGGTGTTTGTTCAACGCTTGGCGGCGTCCCATTAGGGACGTGACCGTGACAATTTTGTTTGGTGCGCGTCGTAATTGAATAGGATGGGAAACGCGACACGCGCCCGAAAGAGCGAATGCGCAAATAAATCTCATTGTGCTCTGGTGCGGCGGTTTTGCGGGAGCCATTAAACGAATCAAAGCAACCATTCATGCAACGCAGGACGCATTACGCGTTATACAACACTTGTGCGTTCTTCGCTAATCTTAATTGGTATGCGCACTTTAATTGAAGGGGCATTCGATGCGTTATAATAGTGAAGATGGTATTAATATTATGTGTTCATAGTAATAAACGTCAAGTTATTTGCGATTAAAATATCTTTGACTTAATTAAACTCTTTGGATGCAACGACGAAGAAACCAAATAAGCGTTGCAATAAAAATAAAAATTGCAAATCAATGCGTTATCTACATATCTATAAAATCCGTTATAAAAAGAGTTAGGAACTTCGCGTTTATTACACAATCATTTAATCTCAATAAAAATCCCATAGAGGATAAAATAATAATATTCATCTATACACATATTAATATTTGATTTCACATATCAGACAAAGTAACCCTGAGAAATAGACGGAAATTGAATTAAGAACATTAAGAAGTAAACTATTAAAGTTCAAAATCGATGAGAGCATCGCGTCGGCGGGTGTCGAATATAGAACGTGGTCACTGTTTAACTTGGGCCCATACGTAGGTAGAGACCACACACGCGCCCCACCAGCGCCCCCTACGCAAATATACCGTCGGCGTCCGAGCGACCACGCCACGATAGCTCCTTCTGCCCACACAGTGTGCACATCTACTTAGACGCCCTACGGAGCTAATCAGCACTAAACACGGCCTACAACCATCGTGACGTAACACCATTCTTTTCCTCGTTAGCGACTCGATAATCTAACGCACTCCCAGCTATCGAGGCTTTCTCATACACGAAACTGTTTGATCGATTAATTACGCACGACTTTGGCTAAGGAGTGAACACTCGAACCGTTCACTAAAAGCGCACAACGCTCGGGAAGCTTAATTTCCTCGGAACCGAACCCGTCACGATGGCGATACTTTGAAATTCATTGTTGCAATTAAGGAGCGTGAAATATGACTGGAGTCAATTGTGCTGCAGCCCCGCGACAATAAAGTATTTAGTGAGAAGGACCCAAAAATAAACAAACAACGCGCACAATCGTCGGAATAATATATAGTGGCACAATGCACGGGCCGGCACGTCATAATAAAGCGATGGCTTTTGTGCTGCTGGTTGTAAATCATACAGTCCTTTGGAAAGAATGGCAACCACCATAAATAACGACCGGCTCTTCGACGTAGCATTCTCGGTCCCAAGCGTCACAAGCGTTCTAACAGCGTAACAAATTAATCAATGACATGCGACCGTAGGCAGTTTTTTGCCACAATGAGCTCATCAAATATAAACATTGCCAATTCTTGTGACGTTATGAATCAAAATATTCTATTGAGATGCGGCCCGTCCGAACACATGCAAGCGTTGTTAAGTGGCGAGTAGTTATTCGGTATAGATGTGAATAATTTTACGCCGTTACGGTCGATAATAGGGGCCGTGGTAAAGTATCGGAGCCTCGCCTCGGTCGATTTTAATGGGTTCGTAAGAAAGCAATCAAACCCGAGCATTATGATTGTATTGGAGAATTTAACGCGGTCCACGCAGTTACGACTCTAGTTTAATGGTTCAGTGCACCCCTGAATAAACAAGCTTATTCGGAGTTAAATTTGCTTGCACCGGATATGGCTGCCACTCGACAGATCCATCACGCTCTAAATGAAGATCCAGTCCACGCTGCATCCACTACTTTGAGCCGGGCTAGAGCCGTCTCGGACAAAGAAATCTTATTCACCAGAGGGGATGCGGTCAACCACACATATTTTACGAGTACTAAATCTCGCCAGTTATGAGCTCCTAAATAATAACGTTTTATTGGCCACAGTCGGCTTCGGATTGACGAATGCCTCCTTACGGTTTATTGTCGATAGCGAGGCATAGTGTCCCGAGATTTATGAGTTCCTATGAAGTTTATTGCTAATGCAATTTGTTATTGCATCGAGGCACGTTGGAAAATCAAAAATTGAATGGGAAATAACTCCGAGAACTCAGAAGACCAAAGACAACAGTCATGGCAACTCCAGTCGCAATTTTAGTTGACGTGTATTCCAAGTATAGCATTCGCATTTCTTGTTTTGTCTTAAAACGTGTTATGCATTCAATAGGTCGCAGGGTGAAGATGTACTTTTTTATGGCGGTAACTTGCGAGAATTAACATGTCACTTGATGTAAATATTTAAAGTTTTTCCGGCTATCTATTCACGGACCACCATAGACGATGTCACGCAGCGGGAATTGGCATTTAGAAGACAACTTTATGTCCCATGCAGTTAAGCGTACGTACAGTATGGCTGAAGTCGTGTTTGTACTAGGGTACTATAGCTCAGCGGGTGTTTAGCGGTGATTATAGTTTTTTTGCTACTGACAAAATCTATCCGCTTGACGTATATTGATGGAGGGTCTGGGACTGTGCATGTTTCAAAAGTGAATTCGTATGTTACGCAGCATGGAGTGGAGATGGGTCGAGTCATGGAGTTCGGCGGGTCTGCGGCCTCCCGTAGCGTGCCGTACCGCTATAGGGCAACATATGCCTTTAAATTTGAATTCTGAATTCAAATGAGGATCAGAATGTTGTCTGGGTTTTCATCTTAAGTACACATTACGGATTTCGTGCGTGATGTTTCGAAATCGATAAACCCTCACAAATTTGTCATAGACGTCTCTGGGGACTTACTGTCTATTGTTATTTGACTAATGATCAAAGAACCGTACATGTTTTAAGTGCAAAGATTAGCACTATAAAAAAATTAAATTTTATTATGGCATATAACGGGATGAATGTTTAAAGATATTATCAATAAATTAAATTCTCCGTTCACTTACATCACTCAGTTTGGACGGCTCATATACACTATTCGAATTTCAAATTTGATATCTCCAGTTATAAATACTGTTCTAAGCGATTTCATAATTCATTTCCTGAGTCCAAGTGGCTGCCACTCGTTGCTCGTGCTCGTCTGAACTCCCGCTTGTACAAATACAGCGACACCCTCGAAACGGGCGTGGAACATTGGAAGTTGTTGAATGAGAAAATACGCTTTTTGGAAGCAGACGTGCAGCACAAATATTGATTGAATCCGTTCTGAGGTGCGCGTGTACTAATATTTGTGTAACCAACAGAAGTCGTTATTACCACTGAAAGGTGGTCCGTCTATTTGGATCGGAACGTTCGAGTAATCGTGCGAGTATTACGGTTTTACGTGCTCTTTAAAAAGTTCTTCATGCATTGTGTTTTCAACCGACTTCGAAAAAGGAGATTCTATATTTACTTTATTTTCTATATCTTTTTTATGTTTTCCACCTTACAACTCCGTCATTTATAAACAGTTTTTTTTAATTCTCTTTGCATTGGGTTTGGCTTATTATTATCCTTATCGGATGTGTTTGTTACTTTTCTAGTCGACGTCTGAAAGTTTCCTTTGTTATAAGAGTTTGAAATAAAGGAGATTTTAAAAATATGACAGATATATATATATAATGAAGATGCTTGTCCCATCTTACGGTTCGAAATGATAAATCTATAAGACTCTAGAATTGTCTTTCAACTTTCAACAAAAACTTTTTACTATATCTCCATCTTAAACAACATTCGGTGTACTTCAATAGCAATGGGTGTATTCAAATCTGGTTATTATGCGTACCAATGGGGAAAGACATACTATTGGTAACCTGTGATTTCATCATAATCAAGTGCATATTTATGACCACTAGGGGCAGGTTTAAGTTTGTCGACGTCGCAAGAACATAGAGCACTTAATAGCTACTATTGTTGACATTTATTTGCATTTATTGCAAGCAACAATGATATAAAAGCCTATATAGACTTTATGAATTCAATACCTGATAGGTAATTGAAAGTTATATTAAGAACTATGCGTAATTTTAACGCAACCCCAATTATTTGCCGAATTTAGATTTTATTTATCTTAACGTTCGGAATGTCTCTCGCTAACGTCCAGCTAACGGGTTAGACGTTATTTCTGGCACGGCTAACATTCGAACCGGGCGCCAATAGCGTTAATGGGACGCTGCGTTTATTTAACCGCCTTAATTCGGTTTCAGACCGTTCGGATATTTTTTTAATCCACGCCCCGACGTACCGTCACGTTGTTACTTCAATTACTACCGCGTGTACATCATGTCACCGTCGCATCTTGTAAAGCGCGATTGATTTACGTTTAACTGCTAGACGAGGAACAGTCCTCCGATTTTATCCTCCGAATTTTCAATTAAATATTTCGACCTAAAAACGTTTCTATATTGATAGTTAACCAGTGTCCAGTTGAATGTTCTATTGTTAGTATTGCCTCGTTTTAAAGTCTTTCGAGATATTGATTGAAACTGATATTTAAGTTTTCCAATTAATATCTATCTCGATACAAAATACTCGATAGCGTAAGCCGGTATTTAGCTTGGGCGAGCACTGTCGTGCCTGATCTCACGACTGTCGTGACCGGGAAAGCTTTTTGGATATGTGTCTGGGTTACGTTTGTACCCAGGACAAAAGAACGGAGAGTAAATTTAATGCAAATGGGAGTTGAAATGCAGCCTGATGGAGGTCTTCTTCGTTGAGGAGGGTTTTGAAGTAGAGATTTACAGTTTATCCTTATCAAAGAGATTTTGGGTCGTGTTTACGAAATATTCGAATCCATTTGGTATGTTAGCTCTGATAAGTAAAAATCACAAAGATGTCCTTTGTTTATAATATGTTATAACATTAAATTTAGTTTTTGTTTCTGAACCGTACCTGAAAGCAGTCTGAATCTATATAACTACATAGTATAAAACAAACTCGTCCCGCTGTCTATCTGTCCATATGTAAGCTTAATTCCTTTAAACCACGCAACGGATCTTGATGCGGTTTTTTTAACTAGATAGAGTGATTCAAGAGGAATGTTTGTATGTATAGTGCATTGCACCCGTGCGAAGCTGGGGCGGGTCACTAGTTTATTCATAAAAGACAAATGACGCAATTTTCTTTGACATGCAATCTAACCATGTTCCAAAATTAGATATTA